GATTTTTTTTTTTGAAGGGGTCATCTTTATAATTGAACTTGAGACACTATTCTGCCCTGGGTCAAATTGACCCGCTGACTAAAATCAAGACAAATGAGTCCTGAAGATGATCCTCCAGGTGGATTTCCAGTTTAAACCTGCATGTCCAAAACATAACTGGGTTTTTCATCACATGCTGCCCAGATTTTTATGTCATATTTAGCTGGTGTGGAAGGCATATATAGTGTAAATGAGCAGCGACCTCTGAATGCCAGGGGTGATCTNTGTGTGTGTGTGTGTTCATGCATGTGTGGTGTGTGTGTGTATGTGTGTGGTGAAATATGTCTCATAGGTGCAAGGAAACACATAGAATTGGACATTGTTTTAACCTTTTTACCCTTCAACTTGTATGGCGGGTCAAATTGACCCATAACAGTACGTCTGTAACAAATGGACCTAGGGGGGGCTGCAAGTGTGTAAAATGAACCATTTTCATTTTATACATAGAGTGCACCTATTAAGACAAATAGAAAAAGTTTCATGCAGAAAAAATACTTCTAACTATTTTTTTTTAATTTTTAAACTTTGAAACGGGTCAAATTGACCCGGAACATAATAGGAGGGTTCATTTAATCACTGATCAGCTGCAGTCAATACAAAACGACTCCACCACATGGAAAACAGCTATAATAATAATAATAATAATAATAATAATAATAATAATAATCCATAATGTTATTCAAAAATATTCAAATTAGTAATCTGCATAAAGATCTAATTATTTACCAAGTCAAAAATAAACAAAAGATTAAAATAATTAGAATTTTTAACTGTTCAAATTACCATGTAACCATCTGATTATTGATGGATATAATGTATCATTTTATTACTGAATTATTGTTATATTGATGCTGGTTTTGTTTTTTATAAAATTGAAAGAAATAAAGATTATTTATCATCAATATAATTAAATTTAAATGCTATATTGAAGAGCTAACTACTAAACACAGCCTTAGTTTGTTTATGTAAGGAATATTACTAAGTTTATACTTTCATTTATTTCATTAAATAAGTAAAACTGAAGTTTTGTCAGTTTGGTTTAAAGCTGCAGTTCCCGCCGCGGCCTGCAGGGGGCGCAGCAGCATGCCGCCCCGTTGTGTCTGAGATGAGTTAGAGCTGCTGCCTCCATGTTGAGGCGGTTTATGACGGGATGTTCTCCCGTCCTGATGACTTTAACGAGGCTGTAAGTCCCGCCGTTCATTGCTAGCTTTTATTCTGAAGGGCTCAAATTAAAAGTTTATCTGGAGCCTCGTAAAGCCGCGACCTCACAAAGACACAAACCTCTGATTTATTCAGACATGTTTAACATTCAGCCTGATGCTCAGAGTCACTGGAAAAATAATTCTGACTTTTCTCAGGAAATTCATGAACAAATTCTACAAAACCCTTTTTATTTATTTATTGTTTTCCAGTTCCGGTTCTTCCTCTTTTAGTGTCACTAATCACAAATCAACGTTTTATTATAGATAATCTGACTGAACTGGTCGCTGACAGTCTTTATGTTTTTATGTTTCTGTGTAATTTGTGACATTTTCCTATAAAACTTGTTTAATTTAAGCTGAAACCGCCTCGGTGCTGCCCCCTCCAGGCTGAACGGTGGGAACTGCAGTTTGAACCTGAACAGTTCAGGAATCAAACCGTTTCACTCAGACAGCTTCCAGTTCTGGATGAAGTTTTTTGCAGACGATAACCTGTTGTTCCCGTAAAAACATCGAGTTTAAATATGATTTTCAGAAACGGTTTAATTTAAAATACATAAAATTTAAAACATTTCTGTCAAAATAAACTACTGGTAGATCAGACGGTCCCAAATCCATCCAGTGGTTCAGATAATCTGGATTATTTTCTCTGATTCAGAACAAAGACAATAACTCAGATCACTGAAAAACACCAAATCTAACAAATCAGTTTGTTTAGTTTGGAGGGAAAATATTTTAATACACCTGAAATGAAATAAAACTAACATATAGGTCACATATCAGCAAATAGGAGCTTCTTTAGAGTCAATAATCCATCAATATTGATAACACATAACTCCATCATCAGATTGATTTAAATATGTTTCTATATTTGGATGAAAGTTTAGTTTTGTTTTATTTCAGATGAACTGAGACGTTTACTCAGGAATCCAAACAAAAACACTTGTTTAGTGTTTTTAGTGAAGCTAAAAGAGCTTCACTAAAAAGCTAGTTAGCTTGCTTAGCTTCATGCCAACCCGATCGGCTCGGTTCTGGTTCTGGTTCTGAGAAGCTTTGGGCTGAAATGTTGGATTGGATTAAAATTTAATGAAGTTAATTGCTGGAGCCGTAAAGTATTTGAATTAAAAACCATAAAAATGAACAAAATTAGAAACATTTTGAGTTCAAAAAGTTCTTTTTTTCTTGCCAAATTTTTAACAGAAAATTATTTATAGTTTTTAATCTCTTTTTAAACCGTCAGACTGGAGCAAAGTGCTATGTGACATTAGCTTTAGCGGCTACATGTTAGCATTGAGATGCTATCTTAGGCTACCACAGTTTCTCTGATATGCTAACTGCTTTTAGCTCAACTTGAACCCAACAATGCTTTCCATCGTCCAATCAGATCGTTTAGCAGCAGAAATGAGCGAAGTTGCTTCATTGCTGCTGCTAGCGCATGTAGCTGTGGATCAGATTTATGGTCCTACCATAAACATGTGAACATAAAGGTTCCCCTCTAAAAACTGATTATGTTAAAATTAAATTAGTTAATAAAAATTAACTTGCTACAGTTTATATCTGCTGCTTTATTTTGATCTAAACTCAGAAACTCAAAATCATGAAATGGATAAAAGTTAAACTCCAGATTAAAATCTGGATTTCCTCAGTAGATTAACCTGAATCATCCCCCATCATGGCCGCTTGTTGCAGCCTGCTGATCTCCCAGGTGAGCAGCTCCTGTCAGAGCCTTCATCATCACCTTCATCACCCCCATAATGGATGGCAGCGCCTCGCCCTGCATGCAGGAAAGGTTTAATTAAATCACAGTCCAATCATAATCCATGTTGTTAATTAAACTGGATAATTTATAAGTACAAAAGAGGGTATTTATTAGCTGCTGGTGGCAGCGCGGCGCCATGCGCGCGCCTCGTGCACGGCGGCCCCACGCACACAGCCGCTGCCTCCAACCTTTTACTATTGATGCCTCGGCATGATTGATAATGAGACGGAGAGCGCTGCACTATTTGTCTAATGGCGGTGCAATTAAAGCCCTTGTAAATGACCCGCGCCTCGTTTCATCCTAATCTATGGAATTTTGATTGAATTTGTCGGCGCTAATTGAAAAATACTGCTATTTAATGTCTGCACTGATCAGGCTCCGTAATGACACGGCGTCCCGGTGACCCCGGGGGGGCGGGGCCGCTCATGCATGTCCTTGACTCGGAGGGGGGGGGGCTGCTCGGGGTCAGAGGTCACATGTGTCCCCTCTGATGCGTTTCGACGCCGCTGGCATTGATGAGCTGCTGCTGAATTGATGAGGAGGTCGTTCCTCCGTCCATCAGGACGCAGTTTGGAGGCGAGCAGGAACAAACACTGCAACGGGCGAGAAATGGATCGCCAGATAATCACCGTCCGCTCCGGAGTTCATCAGCGGTCCGATCTGATTCTGTCTGCAAACACAAATCCAGCAGGGAGCAGAACCTGGAGGCGCTACGATACGAGTCTCTTTTCGTTTTCATTAATGGTAGAAATGATCTCAAATAACTAAAGTGTCAATATTTTTATCTGCAATTTGATTTTATTGATCCGGTATGAGAGGCATTAATATTTCAGAATCGAGTTTCACATCTCCATAAAGATAAAATAGAAACATCTGGGTTACTGTTCTTATTTTAAATATTACTTGATCAAATCAAAGATGTTTTTATCTGTTTGCTGCTAAATTACATCAAAGGTTTAATCAAAAATACCCAGTTTAATTGATGCTGCCTCCCACCTCCAGGGGGCAGTGTCTCTCACTACTGCTGCCTCAGTCTGACAAGTTATAGGTCATGATTAATGTGGCGAGTAACAAAAAGTCACATTTACTGTCATATGAGCACAAATATAGCAAAATTCACTGCAAAATTCATTTCTACAAAATCACTAATTTTTATGTATAAAAAAATCATAAAATCCTGGACGGACTCATCAAAATGTTCAATATTATTTAATTTTAATGCAGAAAGATATTTATTAATATTTCAACAGTTTGTTCATGCATTCTGGAGCAACCAGCCCTTTAAGGACATTCATCATGTTGAAGTGTCCAAAATAAAAATCAGAATTAGACATCTGTTAAAATTTAAAATCAAACTCTTAGAGAACTTCTCCAGGTTACCAAACCTCTGACCTGGTAAACTAAATCATTTCAGTTTTAATTTATCTGCGTTGAATTTTTAACAGCTGAAGTTTGGATCTAAAGCAGATTTTAATTTTAAGGTTCAGTTTCAGATTTGGACCCATCCTGCTGTTAGAAGAATAAAATGTTCATTATTATGTTTTTAACTGTTTTAGTTTTTCAAATCAGAACAAACTGATGTTAAACCTCTGTAGAAAATGTGAGCCGTTACATCAGGACCGATTCGTCTTTATGCTGATGATCCGCTAGTTTCCTTCAGACAGTTCTGGTTTCTAACAGACCAAATGTTTTGTGCTGAAAACTCCTGAAAACATAAAATATTTGGATCAGTGAAACAGTGTAGATATGAAACTTTACTTTAAAACTTTAATTTGATTTATGATTCATCAAATTAACAGCATGATGAAGATCCAGTCAGAGAAATAAAACAAAAGTTTTCTCAGTTTTAAAGATTCACATAAAAACAAAGTTGAATCGTTTTCACTTTAATGATTATAAAGTCACAGAGGAAACGTAACAAGTTCATATTCTGAGGGGTAAAAAGACTGAATTATTTTATTTTTGGCCCTAATCTTCCTCCGTACTCCAGTTTCCGTCCATCGGAACCAGAACTTCGGGAAGCTAGGATGAAACTCGGAGTGTTTTCAGATGATGAAGTTAAACTGTTTCACTTTCACTCCGGTTGGCCCCACGCAGCCTCCTGCGGCCCCACGCTGAGTGAGTCCGGATCGTTCAAGAGCTTCGGCTCGTCACCTGACATCCGCCAATCAGCGGCCGAGGGAGGCGGCGTCCTGGCGGTAAAGGCAGCTCAATTAACCAGAGGGGAGCGCAATTTAAATCCAAAACAGTTGCGGAGGCGCGCAGCGGCAGGAAACACACACCGACACACTCCGGCTGCCGTAGCGGGTCAGAGAGGAGCGCAGTCCGGAACCTCGGGTCCGGAACCTCAGGTCCGGGTCATCTCGGAGCGGAGCCGCGTCCTTCCAGTTTGCGCTTTTTTTCCTGGAAGCGGCGCATCTCCTGCGGACTTGAGGGAGGAATGCTGATCTCTGAGCGGATAGCCCTCAGCTCCCGGTGACTCCCGGCGGGGCTCCGAGCCCTCCGCGGCCGCCCGCAGCGGCTCTCCCCCGGCCTTTCTCGGCTCCAGCGGCCGGTCTTATGAGCGCGGCGTTCGGTCCGTCCTTCATGGTGATGCAGCGGCCACTCGGAAGCACCACCGCCTTCAGCATCGACTCCCTGATCGGCGGGCCCTCGCAGCCCAGCCCGGGACACTTCGTCTACACCGGGTACCCGATGTTCATGCCCTATCGCTCCGTGGTGCTGCAGCCGCCGCCGCCGCCGCCGCCGGCCCTGCAGCAGGCGCTGCCCGGCGGACACCACCCGCAGATCCCCGGCCTGCAGAGCGGCTTCTGCTCCAGCCTGGCGCAGGGTTTGACGCAGGGTTTGACGCAGGGCATGGCGCTCACCTCCACCCTCATGGCCTCGCTGCCCGGCGGCTTCTCCCCGTCCCAGCAGCACCAGGAGGCCGCCAGGAAGTTCGGCTCGCAGGCCCTGCGGTTGGAGGCGGAGGACGGGAAGAGCTTCCTGCCCGGTAAAGAATCCGCGCTGCCGGCCTTCCACGACGCGGACGCGCCGCTGCAGACTTCCACAGGTTGGTCCACGCGTGGGTCAGAACGGAGTTCAAGTTGAGCTGGATCAAATCATCTAAAACACTTTGATTAGTTTCATCTCCTTGTTTCCAAAGTTCAACCAGGAATATTAGTTTAATTTAATTACATAATTTTGATTCAGTTTAATTTAAATATTTGATTTAAAAGCTGAAAATAAAATTCACTAAATTATGACTAAAACATTTAAATCTACTTTATTTATAAAGGTAAATAACGTGTTTATATGAAATGCTGCAGGTTATTATTATAATTATTATTTTTCTAAGGAGTCATTAATTATTCCGCTGTTTTTGCCGCGGGCCTCAGTTAAAACGGATCAACAGAAAAATCTGACTCATTCAGTCAAATTGGCCCACATGTGTCAAATTTAAACATTCATTTTATTTATCGAATATTAATTTATTTGTCTAATCTACTATTTAGTTTTAAACAAGAACATTATAAAAAAAACATCCAGAAAATCCGGAATTTCGCTGCTGAAAGCCTGAAAGCTGCGCGTGCTTCAGGTTTGCTGGCTCGTGATAGATTTGTTTTTTATTTGTCATCACCTCTGACATCACACACACACACACACACACACACACACACACACACACACACACACACACACACACAGAAGGCCGCGTGGAGACATCGGTGCGTAATTACGCGTGAAAGCGGAACGTCCCGCAGCGCGTCCTGATTCCGATCCAGGCTGATGATGGATACAAACACCTTCATCTCCTCCTCCTCTTCCTCACCTTAACGTCCAACAGCGGCTCTGATCAATCAGCATATTTAAATGATTAAACTGGGAAATAAATGTTTTTTTTTTTTTTAAATGGCTTTTTATTTGGAACATAAACCAGATTAAAGTTTTTCCCCCCTCTTGTTATTGATATGTATTGATTTAATTTCCGGATAATCAGATTATTGTTAATCTCGCAGCCAGAGCTCTGTCCAAGGAGGAGTCCAAGGAGGAGGACAGCGGCCGGAAGGACGAGAGCTTCTCCATGGACAGCGACCTGGACTACAGCTCCGACGACAACCTCACGTCCCTCTGCCACAAAGAGGACGCGGACGGCGGCGGAGGCCTGGACGACGCGCCGCACCTGCACGGCGCGGCGTCCGGCGCGGCGGGAGGCGGCGCGACGGGCGGCGGCGGCAAGAACCGGCGGCGGCGCACCGCGTTCACCAGCGAGCAGCTGCTGGAGCTGGAGAAGGAGTTCCACTGCAAGAAGTACCTGTCGCTCACCGAGCGCTCCCAGATAGCGCATGCGCTCAAGCTGAGCGAGGTGCAGGTCAAGATCTGGTTCCAGAACCGGCGCGCCAAGTGGAAACGGGTCAAGGCCGGAAACGTCAACAACAAGTCCGGGGAGCCGAGCCGGAACCCCAAGATCGTGGTTCCGATCCCGGTGCACGTCAGCCGCTTCGCCATCAGGAGTCAGCACCAGCAGATGGAGCAGGCCCGGCCGTAGGACGGTTCGGATGGGTTCGGACCGATCCGGCACAACTAGACTCCTCTGTCGTCATTTGTTTTTGACTCGTTAAATTAAAATGTTTCCTCTTCACTCCGTGACTCTGCTGAGACGGATCTCACTGACCGGTTCTTTTTAACGTCTGAGCCCGAGAACGTTCAACCTGCTGAAAGAGCCGCAGTTTTTCACCGCAAAGTGCGCGTGGAGCAGCTGATGATGTAAATACAGACCGGAAGCTGCGCGCGCTTGACTGAATGAAGCTGCTAACTTATTTATACACTGATGTGAAAATCTGCGATTAAAGGACGCAAAGTGAGCCGATGCGTTCAGTCTGACTCCTTCACACACACACACACACACACACACACACACACACACACACACACACACACACACCTCCATCTGGATTATTAAAAGCCAAACTCTTTACTTTCAAAATTCGGTTAAAAAAGTGAAGAAGAAGAAAAAAATCGAAATAAATTCAAGATCAAAATGAAGAAACGCGGAAGGCGACATGGCGGCGGGTTTAATTGAATTCAAACTAATTAATCTAAAAACAATGATCTATAATAATTTACCTTCCTCCAGGTGGCATCCTGTCGTTTATTAATCAGGTTTAATAAATAAAAGCTGAATAATTTCTTATCGCTGTGAACCGACCGGCGGCTCCAGGTGAAGAACTGAAGCACCTGTGCGAATGACGCGGGTTGCCAGGTGCAAAAACCCCCCGATTAACTTAATCTAAAACTGTAAACTACTAACATCCTTCAGTTTACATTTATTCATTTTTAATTATTCTAGAGTTTATAAAAGAAAAAATTATTTTCTAAATAAATTTAATAATTAAGCCCCAAATGTTTTAAATAGTTAAACATTTTAAAAATTAAAAACAGATTTATTTACACAAAATTTAAAATTTTTATTGTTTATTTTCGGACCAAAATAGTTTAATTTTGTGTTTTTATGGAAGCAAGGATCCGGTCGAGGTTCGGCCTCCTGGATCCGAACCACGGCCTGCGGAATCTAACATGGCGGCGCCAGGAGGCCGATAAACAAGACCTTCATCATCATCTTCATCCTCCTCCTCAACCATCTGCTGATAAACCGCAGCTGGAAAATTTAAATATTATTTACTCTTTCATTATTATCTCTAGACAAATATTAAATAATTAAACTAAATATAGTCTTTAGTTCATTTTAATTTCTATTGACAATTTACCAAGTAAAATGCCAACTATTGTCTGTTTTACTTTAAAGTGTTTATACCCAACAATACTCTAAAATATATAATTTATATCTCTGAACAGATTAGCAGGAAAATAAAACCTGGTTTTAAAAATCTAAATTAAATAAATTAAAGTTTCAGTTTTCAGCTGAAACATTTTAAACTCCTCAAAGTTAAAAAAAAAAAAAAACTCATTTATTGTCAAATTTTATCTGACAAATCTGCACAATTTAATAATAAAAAATATTTTTTCTTAATCAAAATTTCAGAAACGCTGTGAAGTTTGCAGGAATGTCGGCTCCATCAGGATTATTTTAATCTCACAATAAACATTTAATATTCATGTTTCTAAAATAATAAAATCTCACAAGTTCAGTTTATATTAAGAAGCATTTTCCTGTCTTTATTGAAAAGAGACAAATTACAGTAGAAGATTCTGCATTAGGTAGAACTTTTCAACATCGGTACTGTACAACAAAATTTAATAATAATAATAATAATAATAATAATTAGAATAACAATGACAACAATTACAATAGCGGTCTGGATGATAAAACAGGATAAAACGTGGATGGACTTCAGGAGGAAATGTACAAAAAGGTTTTTCTGTGGGAGTTTAAATAAGATGGAGGCTGGAGAGAAGTTATGAAAGTCATTATTAAAGTCATGATTAAAGTCATTATTAAAGTCTAGCACAGAAACATTTCTACAGTTCATCATTTAACAGGTTTTTATTATCTACACTGCTGCCTCTGCTTTCCAGAAGCAAAACAATAATTTTTACAAGTTTTATCTGCAGTTCAGCAGAGCAGGTTTACAACAGAACCGTCTGAAAACTGAAACAGGCTCCAATATGAAAACTTAAAATAAAAAATAAAACTTCTTTCTCAATTATTACATTTATTATTTTGCTTTGTTTAAACTGTATGACCCAGAAACCAAAAAAAAAAAAAACATCTTTACCGACGCTCTCTGTTAGCAAGATTATACCAACAGACGTGCATAATTATACTAATAAATTACTGGCTGTTGCTTTATGCTGGCATTAATTCCCAAACTGTTAAAACTGTTTATATTTAGCATGAAGGACAAAACTCTAGTGGAATAAAAAAAAAGACGCTTCATACAAATGGAAAAAAGTCTGCTAATGAAGCTAATTTGTTCAGCGAGCTAGCTGGGAAAATGACTCGGCAGTTTTGAGCCAACAATTAAAACGAGCCGACGCTGATTTTTCTCTGATACCTGTTGGCTTATTAAATGTTAACAAACTGACCTGTTAATGTTAACAGAAACTCACCAGAACGATGACGTGCTTTTTAGAGGAAAACCAGCAGCTCTTTGTCTCACTCACCCCCTGGTTGATGCTCCTTTCATTGGGAATTTTAACTTTTTAAATTTAGTCACAAGGAAAATGACTCTTTAATGGACCCGGACTGTCAATAATTTCCTCACCTGCTAAAACCAGGCTGTTGATTTAATGAAGTCTTTGAACTGCTAGCTAAGCAGCGACATGACTCAGCTGTTTTGACAGTAACTGAATTCAGATCTATGCTATTCCATAAATTGAGCCAAATGTTCAATATGGCTTTAAATGTCCCAAAATCCATAAAGATGAATTAGAGATCAACAGAATGATTTAATGTCATAATGGTAAGCTAGCCAGCAGCTTTTATCAGTTAGCAATGTTAAGCTAACAGGTTAATCAGTAGCTACATCATCACACGGTGCTTTATTCTCCAATTTACCACATTTTGTATTCAGAGAGTGTAAACAATACAATATAAATCTTAATAACAGGGACAATAACTCAGCAGCTTTTCTGTTTGTTGTCCAGCTAACTCAGAGCACAGTTAGCATTAGCTTCCCTTTTTAACGCAATAAAACTGATGTTAGCCGTCTTTCTTGGCCTGTAAACTTTTTTCTGCTAAAATAATTCCTATTATAATATTTCAAAACTGCCACAATTTTTGAAGCTGAATCACAAAATGTATCTTGTATTATGTAAACTAAATAATGATATCCAACTTCCTGGACAGATTTTTACTGAATCAGATTTTCTCCTATAAGCTTAAAACACATTCTGGGCTGTTTGTTTTATTACTTATAAAATCAGAATAAAAACAACTTTTTACTCACAGATTTATTAGAAATTTCCCTTTAACCAAGATGTGCTGTGACGATGGATATAAGCTGTGAGTCTCAATAAACATAAATAAAGTTATATTAGAAAACGATCATAATAAAGACGGACAGACTGAGTCAAATTTAGTGCATTTCTGAATCATTGGCCGACTTCCTGATCAGAACCATCGGAAATAGAAAAACAATACAATTTACATCAAAAATCCAAAACATTTTGAGATTAGAAAATTTCTAGAAAAAACAAGAACATTTTCTGAGCTCAAAAAGTCACGAGTTTATGAGGAAAAAAACTGAGTTTGATCTTAACTAAAATTGAAAATTTTCACCTTTGCAAGCTCAGAAAATGTTTATTTTTTCTAAACAAAATATGTGAAATTTATCTCAAAACGTCTGCATTTTTCCTCAAAATATTTTGACTTTCTGAACTCAGAGATTTTCACATTTTTTCCAGAAAATTTCTGATTTTAATCTGAAAATCTCAGGTTTTTCTCTCATTATTTATTTATTTATTTTTTTTTTAATCTTCAACAACCCAAATACGGTGTCGTAGTTCTGGTTCTGGTTGGACTGAGAGTAAAAAACATAGCATTGTTCACACAAAATGTATGGAGAAGCAGTTTGTGTGATTCTGGGATCATAAAGGCAAAATAAAAAAGGCAAGAGGAGAAAGTTTGAATTTAGAGCTGTGAAATCAGATAATCCAGCTGCTGCAGCAACATCTAGGTTAGGATTTCTAGACGGAGTGTTCTTCCTGAGGCTCCTTCACTTTTAGTCAACACTTTCTACAAACACCAGGAGTGATTTGACTAGGCCTGATGCCAACAGGAGGAGGAACGTCAGCCTCTTCAGGTTACCATGGACACCAGCAAAATGGCTGACGAACCAAATAGGTTAAAAGACATTTTTGTTAGATTGAAATAAACGTCAGCAGAGGAAGCTACGGCGTTCCGACTCTGTGTTCAGATGAACTTCAGGGTCCAGAACCGGATCAACTCTGGGTTTGGATCAACCACTGGGCTCTGATATGGAGTACATTTCTGCCAAAAATCTCTCAAAGTTTGAAATCAGTCTAGAAAAAATAAATTTCTGATCTCAAAATTTGAGATCAGAAATCTTAACATTTCAGATTTTTTTCTTGCACATTTTTGACTTTTGGAGCTGAGAAGTGTTCTTGTTTTTAAATCAGTTTGTTGGCAGAGATGTACTCCTGTACTTTTTATCTCTAATGGCTCCAATACGCCGCTGCACTTTGACCTCTTGCTGACTTGGCCAATCAGATCGTCCAGAACCTCCTGCTTGAGTCCCAAACCAAACCGACAGACTCAACTACTTCCTGTTTGTGCTCGTTGTCACGGTGACCATGACAGGAAATGAGGTGCAGTATTTACAGAAGAAGAAGAAGAAGAAACAGCCCTTCGTCAGACGATGTTCCCTTGGTCCATTTGGACAAAACGAACGAATCAGAAATGGAGAAGGAGCCTCTGGGCCCTGAACCTTGAGGCTCCCAGGACCGCTCTCCCATTGGTCCACCAACACACACTCTCACACACACACAACACATTCAGACACACTCACAGCGGGGAAACTCCTTAAATAAAACAGAGTCTAAGATCCCGTCCCACCGGGCCTGGTTCTAGTCAGTTCTCCTCTCGTCGCCATGGAAATGGGTGCTGTGTGATGTGTTCCTGTTCCTGGATTCTGATTGGCCGATGAGGTAAGAGACCCGTTTCCCATCGTGCTCTGGTCCCGTCATGGCGGCGGTCAGATGAGCGCGGCGCTGCCCAGGCTGCTGCAGCTGTTGTTGCGGTTGGCATTGCGGCGCGGCAGGTTGGGCGTGGTCATCAGGGCGTAGCGCTCGTCGGCACCGCCGTACTGGGCCAGAACCTCCACGCACTCCTGGCTGCCGGACTGCCGCGCGTACACCATGGCGCTGTTCCCGTGGGCGTCCCTCGCCATCAGGTCGGCGCCGTACTGCGAAGACAGCGGAACCGGATCAGACTGGGTCCGGCTGGCGGCCCGGCCGGTGCCGACCCGGAGGACACTTACCCAGACCAGCAACTGCAGCAGAACCACGTTTCCCTTGTGCGCGGCCAGGTGCAGCGGCGAGCAGCCGTCGCCGAACGTGTCGTTGACCTGCTGGCGGGAGGCGTGGGCCAGCAGCAGCACCACGCCGCGCAGGTCCTCCTCCGCCGCCGCACGCAGCAGCTGCTGGCCCAGAGGCGGGTCGGCGCCGGGCAGCGCCGCCACAAACAGACGCTGCTCATACTTGGCCCGGATCCAACGCTCACGCTCCTCCCTGGAGACAGGACATGACATCACAGCTCATCAGAACGCATCATCAGAACGCCTCACCGTCGCCAGACATCAGAGAGAAAAAAAACTTATAAAATGATTCATAAAAACATCAAACAGGAAACAGGAAGTAAACTTAAACTCAGAAAATAAAACAGCAAACAGGAAGTCCGGGTTTCAGCTTGTTTACAGTTTTATGGAAGTTTGTTCCAGATCTGTGGAGCATAGAAGCTGAATGCTGCTGCCTCCATGTGGCTCTGGAGGCTCAGGTCAAAGGTCATCCCCTCTGTAACATTTAGGTAGGAATGTTTCTGCATCGGGTCGACAGGTCCGGCTTTAGACGGCGATGAGGAAACGTTTCTACATCTGAGAGGCAGGAGGAAGAATCATCACCAATCCAGGATCATCATCGGTCTAATCTGTCTAATCCACAGCAGAGTGACTCTAATCTGATGGCTAATCCCTCCGTGTAAACAGAGGCTCACTCAGTCAGCAGGGATCAGTCTGGACGGCTTGGCGGCCCGGTGGACCAGCGGTCCAGTACTGAACCGTTTCCTGCTGCAGACTGAAGGATCGTTTGCTACCAATGGCAGAGTCTCTCATCCTGGACAGGTTTCTCTCTGAACCCGATGGATCGGTGTGGGAACGGCTCTGGACCTCATTAGCTCTCTTCCTGGAAACCAGCTGGGGGGCAACAGAGGGGCAGTAGAGGCATGTGGGGAGTAGGGGCAAGGAGGCGCCTAGCATGGCGGAATGTCTCCAGGTTCCTCCTTCCTGCCCCGACCTAGAGACCAGAGAGGCTGGCTCCGACCACGGCCCAAAGCCCGCGGACAAAGCCTGGAGGAGTCCTGGAGAGAGAGCGAGTGTGTGTGTGTATGTTATATGTGTGTGCGTGTGTGTGTGTTTTATATGTGTGTGTGAGTTTTATATGTGTGTGTGTGAGCGCCCAGCGGGACTCTGGAGGAAGTGTGAGGCCGTGGGACCAAGAGACGCATGCCTTCCTCCTCTGGAGTTGCTAAGAGCCGCCAGGCGTCCAGAAACACCGAATACCAATAACCCTACAGGTCGCCATGGAAACGGGATCAATAGATGATCCGTCTGAGTTGATGTTCAATAATTACACTGAGAAATCCAGAACCAGAACCGCTCTGCATTCTGGGGGATGTAGGCAGAGGAGAGACTGTAGTCGCTCAACAGCTCAGGGCTAACGGAGCTAGCAGTGGACTCAACTAACTCGCTCCCTCTTCAGTTGCCTAGCAACAGCCCACTAGCTCTTTGGTTGATTAGCAACAGCCTGCTGGGTAAATTGCACAGCAGCAGTTTTAAGTTTGGAAACTTAAAAAAAAAAAAAACTGGATAAAAAAGGAAACATCAGCAGATGTTTAACACTAAATCTAATCAATAATCATCAATACTGATGATCTGATTGGTTTATATCATGATTGGTTTTCAGCCATTTTGAAGTTGAACCTCATCTTGTTCTGATGGTTTGGTGTTTACAACCATTACTGAATATTTCTAACACATTTTAATGTAAATTAGCATCACTGTGATGTAATCTAACTGCCTCTGTGTGTGTCTGTGTGTGTGTGTGTGGCTCTGTGTGTGTGTGTGTGTGTGTGTGTGTGTGTGGCTCTGTGTGTGTGTGAACTTCCAGGCGTGTATTTAGTAAACAGCGAGTCTCCGTCTCGAGTTAACGACTCCTGAAAACACAGCTCTGGACACTGGAGAGGCTAATTGCACTAATTAACATCGCCGAGTGTGTGTGTGTGTGTGTGTGTGTGTGTGCTAACGTGTCTGCAGCACACACACTCAGGTTGTGTGTTAATCTGTGTGTGTGTGTCCCTTTTCACATCCCATTAGAGGAAGCGCTGTGTTTTCAGCACCAAGGCATGCTGGGTAGATAATTAAACACGAGTCCCGGTGAGATCGCTTGTGACAGGAAAACACACACACACACACACACACACACACACACACACACACACACACACACACACACACACACACACACACACTGCAAATATGTCAAGCGCAGCCCACAGGGCTGATAGTGTGTGTGTGTGAGCTGCAGAGGATCTGTAGCAGGACGGCTGCTGCTGGTTTTGTTCCTGTTACAGATCAGATTCATCTGAATGTTTCGACAAAACGAAAAAAATGAACAGAAACCAGTTCAAATCCCTGAACTCAAACTAAAAACTACAAACCAAAAACTAAAAGCTAAATGTTCCCTAAAAGGTTTCCACAGAGAGACAACGGCAACAAGAGCCTGAAAAAAACCCACAACAGAGAAAAGAAACTTCCAGATTAAACTGAGATTAAACTGGGGTCTGCCCTGGATTCTCCAGTCTCTGAAGCCTTTGACCTTTGACCTGCTGACTGACAGCTTCATCAGCTCTGGTTGTGTTTGGCGTTCCTCAGGGCGCCGCACTGGGCCCACTGAACATCTCTGACTTCCTGCCTGTTGTTTGAGCTCCGACAGTTCTCACTGTGTGTGTGTGTGTGTGTGTGTGTGTGTGTGTGTGTGTGTTCCCCCCCAGCGGCTGCTTTGTCTGCCTGTTGGACACTCAGCACTTCCTGAGGGCGTTGAACCGACAACCAGAGTCGAACTCACCGAGTCGCGGCGACAGAAACAAACCCAGAGATTCATTTATCCACTAATGATGCTTCACACAAAATACTTTGACTAGGACATATGGATTAAGTCCAGATTAGTCAGAGCAACTAAAACTAGAGATGAAGAATCAGCAACGAGGCGATAAATGTGAAAATAAAATAACAGAGCAGCGAAAACAAAAAACACAAGAATCCAAAATAAAACAGGAAATAAAAACTGATTCACCAGAAATGATAAAGATAAATCTGGACTGAAAGTTTTCTAAGATCATTAATTAGAAAATAAAGATCTGCTACAAATTAAATCTGAGGAATAAAAACTGAAAAATGTCAGAAAATAGAAAATCCTCAACCAGATGTGACAGATTACATCCAAAACACAGAAAACTCAAACAACTCAAAAATAAAATCTATAAAACAAAATAAATATATTTATGGAACCAGAACCAGAACCAGGAGTTTTCTGTGGTGATGTTCTATTTTAAATCATTATACTTTTCTCTGATTTCTGTTCTATAGTTACCTAATCAATGACTAATCATTGCTGATCGATTGACTATTCAGATTTCACAGTAAATTAACTGATTAAAGTTTTTCTTTCTCTCAGTGATGCTGTTTGGAAATTATCTGAACTCTTCCTAAAATCGAGACGGGTCCAGATGGTACCGACCGTCCAACCTGGCAACCCGTTGCTGCTGCTGCTCAGCTCTGTGCTGGTTCTTGTGGTTCTGGTTCCCAGCAGCTCCAGTCTGAGTCAGACGGATGAGCCTCCATTAGCTCCGGTGGAGGCTGAGGGAGGTAATGAGCGGTGAGGATCGGGTTAAGAGTGACACGGTGTCAGGCTGCTCTTCTGGCCTAATTAGCCCTCTAATTAATAGATTAATAGCCGGATAGATGGAGCATCAGCTAACTGCCTGACCTAATGTGCTTTAAAGATGAATCCCTGCCAGAAGAGGTGAGGGCCGCCGATCGGCTCCACCTTCACCAGGAGCCGGAGAGAGAGGCTGAAATCAATTAGCGGGTCGTTAGCCGCCCTCGGATGGGCTCAGATAATTAAAAAGAGGCCGGCGCAGGAGACGAGGGGTTAACGGAGCTGCCACCATGCAGATGAGGCGAGGAGGAGGAGGAACGGGCCGGAGCGACGGGAAGCCAATCCCTGGGCTGAAACGAGACGCTCCACTGATGCTGCACGGAAACTAAAGAGGAGCCGAGCAGCGGGGGGGCAGGATGTAGGAGACACCCCCTCTGGTAATTAACTACATGTCACAGAGCGTCCTGAGGGACCCGGAGACACACGGGGAGCATGGAGGAACATGGGGAACCAGGGAACATGTCCTCAATGATCCGAAACACGGGGAAACCCAGAAACATGTCCTGAATAACCTGCAGCTCTTCGTCAGAACCAGCAGACGTTTACAGACGATCCGCTAACAGAGCGCTGACGGTTCAGATCTTATAGCTCATGAAAATATTTTTATTCATCAGGAAACTGAAGATTTTAATTAATATATTAGAAATATATAAACTCAGGTCTAGTTTGAATATCAATAAATGTTTTATTAAAGACGATTACAGATCAAAAACAAAGAGTTTATTATTGCAACAACAATAAACTACTAAAATGCGGCAGTGGCTGATGTCTGGACTGCAGGAGATGTTACTGTGATTATTATTTTCACACCTTTTCAGGTATCAAACCATCAGAACATTTTCAGGATTTCATTCAGACTGACTGCAGGAAACTACAGATGATCTGGACTCCCGACCAGCTGCTGGTTTTGTCTCCTCCAGGCCTCCGTCCCGCGGTCGGCCATCTTTTCCGTGGCAGTGGGATCAGCTGAGCGTTCACCAGCGGCTCGCCGTGAACCCATTCAGTCCAAACACATCACCGCCCACGGCGGGACGGCGGCCGTCCTGCTGCTGCTCTGTGAGCCGGGAGGGGGGTAGTTATTTATTTCTTCATTATTAGAGGAACGCTGGGGGGGTTAATCTGATGACTCAGGCATAAAGAACGCGCTTTTAGTTTGTGCTTTTAGTCCGCATTAGCATAACCTGGCCGCCATGAGAGGCGATGAATGAGCTGCTGATTGGCTCGAGTCGGCGGCTTAATGTCAACAGTAAATTGGAGGGCTTGTTAGGCGAGCTGGGGGGGTGAGGGGGCAGAGGGGGGCGGCGGGGCAGCCATGTACAAAATAACGTCCATTAGGACTAATCTAATCAAGCCTCCTTTACAGATGAATTAGAACCAAGGAGCCAATTATTCCTCAGCGCTCCAGCCGGGCAGAGGGGGGCGGGGGCCGCAGAGCGACCGGCGGAGGGGAGGCGGGGGCCGCAGAGAGACCGACCAACGGGGGCGGGGGCCGCAGAGCGACTGGCCGTGGCCGGGCGGAGGGGGCCGATGGAGCCCAATTTGGAGCCGCATCGCGTGAGAAAGTTATTTATACCGCAGAGCGTTGATGCTGACGTGTCACCAGGACTACTTCCTCCTGGAAACATCGGGGACAGGAAACGTCGTGATCGTCCACCGCCTGCAGACTGGGCACAGGTCGAACAGGCCGGGTCCATTTAGGAGGATTTAACATGGAAAAATCAGCTTTATGTAGCAGGAAGTTCATCTGTCCAAACAGGAAGTCAACAGGAAGTCCATCTATCTGAACAGGAAGCTGTGTGAATAGGAAGTTGTCTCAGCGGCGTCCTTCCGTCCATCTGGACCCTTTAGGAGGTTCTGGTTCCGTGTCATGTGACTCGTGTCCCATCTTGTCCTTCCCAGCTGATCTGAGTTGGTTTTATGAGGATCTGAGTCGGATCTGCCCCCAGACACCATTCCCCCTGACCCTGGGGGGCAATTATTCAGTGATGCGGGGCCCCCTGCCCCATCTGGTCCCCTGGGCCCAATCGTGGCGCCGTGTCGGCCGCAGCTGCCCCCCAGCTCAGATGAAAAGCCCCCGGTCTAATTTTAAATCTGTTAGCCTTTTCAGACGGAGCCGAGCGAACAAGACGGATCTGCTCCCATAACGGGCCCCGGCCCCCCCGGGTCCCCAGGTCCCGGCGCCGCAGACCTGCTGCTGAATTATTACTGGCCGGGCATCCGTCATGCGCCGCGCGCCGTTAAACGGTGGAGCATCGCTCCGCGCCGCCATCCTTCAGCCGGATGCTCGTTTCTCTGCTGTCAGAGCGACACCTGAACGCCTCGCAGCAAAGAGGCTGAGCGAGCAGAACCGGGCCGGACCGCTGACGGTTCAGATCGGAACCAGAGACACCATCTGATGACTGATTGGTTCTGATTGATCCGTTCAGGACCTGCTGCCTGCTGATAAAAGCAACCAATAATCAATGAGACCAGAACCACCGGTCCAAACGACCGCACCGACACACAGACCGAGTCATCAGGAGCCAGAGGAACAGAATGTCCAACAGAGTCTGAGATTAATTAATCACAACTAATCTGAAACTAAAAATCGACTCAACGAGAAACATTTACAGATCAAAACATTTTTCTGCTGCTAAATTATGATATAAATCGATATATTACAGATATTCATAGTTTTTAATCTTCAACCTTCAGATTGGGGAAACCTTCATCTGTTCAGAGTTTCAGGAGCTTCTTTATTAACGCTAACATTAGCGTTAGCTGCTAGCTGTTAGCATTGAGATGCTATTGTAGGCTAGCATAAACTCCTTTTAGCCCAACCAGAAACGGTGAGCCGTAAGAAACAGATTAACTGGGTTAAAACTTTAATGTAACTAAATAATCAGATTGTGCTTCAGCTTCAGAGGCGGACCAGAAACGAGCAAATGCCAAGACTGTAGAACCGGGACAGAACCAACAGAACCGGGTCAGAACCAGGCCTGCAGGAAGTTTCAACCATCCTCTTCCAGTTTCCAAAATTAACTGGACTTTTCTCCAGCGGCTGAAGAAATGGACCAGCCTGAACCAGAGGCTGTCAACCCTCTCCAGAGGTCAGAGGTCGCAGCAGGAGGGTGTGTCCAGGGGGCGCTGTCTCTGCCGGTCGGCTCGGCCCGCTAACACGGTGTCAGGCCCGCAGAGCTGGTGCTGGACACCTCATTAAACCGATGAGCAGCGGCTGAGGGAGGCGCTGCCCCCCCACCGGGTTGGGACCCAAACTTAGCAGCCCCCAGAGCGCCGCCATCAGCCGCCATCAGCGGCGGCGAGGCGGGCAGCGCGCATGCCAGCCCAGGCGATGATGGCTGACCGCGGGCTGTCGGGGGTTAATGGCAGCGTTTAGAGGACGGCTCGGTCTTTTGGAGACTGGAGCCCAACAAGAAGCCCCCCCCTCATAAGCCCCGCCCCTTGACCCCCCCGCGGCGCGGCGGAGCTGGCGCGGCTGGTGTCGGTCCACACCGAGCCGCTCACTTCCCTCCAGCTCAGCCGAGACGATTCCTTCACAAATAAAGGTGTTGGTCTCTCCATCCGTCTCCTCCTCCTAATTGGGAGGCGGGGGGGCTGCGGGGGGCAGTAAGGGGGGGCAGCAATGACAGACAGGAGGTCAGCGTAATTGCTGCTGGCCATATTTAACATTAAGATAATCAGGCCATTAATTACCCTTTGGATCATTAAATCAGCCACTTGCAAAATGAAATTTCGGCCTCTATTACTCACTCCACAGACCACGGGGGGGCAGGGGGCAGTTCTCCATCCATTACCCCACATCCACACTCAACCCTCCACCTGCACTTTCAGCTCCTCTTCTGTTTAACACGCTGGGATTTAAACACGCAGAATAAATCGATTCATGCAGAATCGCAACTCCTGGGAATCATGAATCCATTCAAAACAATCAGAAATTTATTTTAAATGATCAGAAATCTATTTTAAGTTATCAGAAATTTAGTCTAAATGATCAAAAGTTATTTTAGGAAACGCTCTAAAAACTCTATTAAATTAATAATATTAAATTAATATGTTTTTTTATGTTCATATGTTGTAGTTTGGGATGAATTTATCTCCATATTTATCACTATTCCTAGATTTATCTTTTCTCATGCTAATTACGATGCCCTGAGTTTAGTCCTGTCAGCTTCACCTGCAGATTTAATCCCAGACATTCGTACGTTTACCTCAGTAACTAGTTTTACTGCGTTGTTGTTTCTCCTTTAACTAGATTAATGACATGCTAACGTGTTGCTGCTCTTAGTGGAGTATAATTCTGGGTCCTCTATAAAGGATGGAGGCCATCTTTAATTGGTTTTATTTCTGTTTTGTTCAGAGCTAGTGAGACATGCAGTCAGACACGACGCAGTGCCACCTGCTGGTGGCTGGAGGAAGCGTTTCCACCAGCTGGATCGGAGGAATGAATCCTCTGGCCATGAGTTTGATGACAGAAGAAGAGAAATGGAGAGATTACAGCAGCGTTTGATGCTAATAACTTATAATTTGAGACGTTAGAGCCGGCAGCGAAGCATCAGCAGAATCTGCCGTCTGAGAGGAGAAACGACAGAAGGATGAGAGGGAGGCCGAGGGATTTATGTAGGGGAGAGGACAAACAGCGAGCCACTTAAGGAATGGACTGATAAAGACTATCGACAGCAGAGAGGAGGAGATGGAGCCGCGGCGGAGCGAGGTGGAGCTTAATAGAGATAATATTGACCTCCTGCTCTGGCCTCTCCAGGGGGAGCAGCAAGAGGTTCATAAATAAACAGCAACAAGAGCGGCAACATGGGGGGCAACGACAGGAAATAAACGGCAACAAGAGCAGCAACATGGGGGGCAACAACAGGAAATAAACAGCAACAAGAGCGGCAACATGGGGGGCAACAACAGGAAATAAACAGCAACAACCAGAAGTAACCTTCTGAACGGAGCGCTGTCTGAGGTTCAGCTGCTTCTTGATTATCTATCTGATAATTATAAGGAGCTTCTGTTGACTAATGATGGCCCATCGCCATGGAAACGACCCCGGCTCTGATTTGGCATGATTAACCACTTTCCATATTTTGACCCCAACATGGAGACACAGGAACTAAATCCAGCAGATCGAATCATTTTAATCTGGTTCTGATCGTGTGAATGGGTCGCGGCCCGGTTCTGGAGGCGTCTCCTACCTGCTGGCGTCTGGCCCCGGTTTGAGGCGGCCCTGGGCGTTGGCCTCCCACACGCTGTTGGCCAACTCGTTGCCGATGGCCGACATCACCTTGATGAGCTCCAGCGGCCACTCGTCCAGGTCCAGGGACCGGACCCGGGACAGATGGGTCCCCAGGTTCCGGTGGATCCCGGAGCACTCGATGCAGATCAGAGCGCCCAGGTTCAGGCTGGCCCAGTCTGGGTCTGTGGGACAGAACCAGAACCAGCTGGGTGTCAGAGGACGGCAAAACATTCAAACTGGGAATCTTTCCCTGAACGGCCTTGTCCAAACAAACACAGTAACTACCTACAACCAGTTAATTCCTTCAGCCACCGGGGGCGCTGTGGTAACTTTATCTGTTTGGTTTTTTTTTTACCACTTCCAGCAGCCATTGTACCACAGAACAGAATTACACAGAAGAGTTTGATCGTTTCTGATAAGTTTGTAAAAATATTTAAGATCCTGAAGTAACTGATTTAATTAATTTGGCTTCCAACAGTAATGTACTTCCTGTTGTTAATGTACTTCCTGTTGATACTGTGCTTCCTGTTATTAATATACTTCCTGCTTCCTGTTATTAATGTACTTCCTGTTGTTAATGTACTTCCTATTGATACTGTGCTTCCTGTTATTAATATACTTCCTGCTTCCTGTTATTAATGTACTTCCTGTTGTTAATGTACTTCCTGTTGATACTGTGCTTCCTGTTATTAATGTACTTCCTGTACCAACCCCACCGATGGCTCCATCTATAGTCTATATCTATAGGTTTCCCCTTCAGGGTCGTAGTAACTGAAGAACCAGTAAACGGTTCCTGTCATCCACCAGGACCTCCTTTCTTCTTCTGTGGTGCTAAAAGTGTTAGAACAGGCGGTTCACTCACTCGGTACGTCACAGTCGGCGCAGCGGCCGTTGCCCCGGATGCTCCGGATGGACTGCAGTGCCAGCGCCTCAGACTGGCTGGTCAGGCGAGACTGGAGGAGAGAAGGTCGGGTCCAGAGAGCGGCTCGGTTAGATCAACACACATCATCACAGACACACATGTTTCAGGCGTGAAGGGAAAACATGGCAAACAAATGAAACGGGTGGGGGAGGGGCCTCTGAGAAGCTGAGCGCCTGAGGCGTAAACACGGCCGAGACGAGAACCAGGCCGACCCGACAGTAATTGCTATTCTGTAATTATGGGAGTGGAACCGGGAAAGATTGGGTTTGAGAGGAGATCTGGGGCTGGATTCAGGAGGAGTCACTTTAAACCTCCAACAGAACCAACAGAGCCAAGCAGAATCAACAGAACCAAGCGGGTCACCTTGTTCTTGCTGCTCTCGCAGGACTGCAGGCTGGCCAGGATCTGGCTCTCGATGACCTGGACCCAGGCGTCCCGCTCTTCGTACGACGTGGCCTCGAAGTTCCACGTCTGACCCGTCAGCGACACGATGGTGAACTCAAAGTTCTCCTCTTGTTCTGGTGGAGGACAAAACGGGTCAGAGAACCAGCCTGGTTTCATTCTGTGCTTTTACTCTGAAAGGACCAACAGGCAAAATTAGCAGAAACATCATAAAACTCCAAGTGAAAAACTGATTGATTCACATTCCTTTCAACCAACTCAGTTTGACGGCCAAACCGAACCTCCAGTCTGGTTCCTTCTACTTTCAGACCAGAAACAATAAACTATACAAATGAACAGTTTTATTGTTTTCACCACAATCAGATCATCCAATCATCAAATCAAGAGTTTGTGAAATTCATCTTGGTTTTGGACCAAGATGAATTTGTTGGTTTCTTGTTTTTCCATCAATCTTTCAGGTTTCAGTGAAACACAAAACTTTTTAATTCCACCAGGAATGAAAAACTATAAATGTACAGGATGGTTGCTATGCTACAACAAGCATCTCAAAAACCTGGCTTTGGATCCATGATGGAGGCAGACTAGCTAGTTAACATTAGCCTCAGCTGCCTGGTGTGAAACTTTTGCCTGATAGAAAGTTCCACCATAAATTAGCAACAATAGTCTTGGCATGATGAAATGCGAGACGTGTTTTTAGCGCCTTTATGGCCACCTGATGTGAATTTCCTTAATTTTAGACTTGAGCTTTTTCATGAAGCGCCCGGGTCTGGCAGGAAGTGTTATTAGGAAGAAAGAGTGAAGAAGCAGAACGCTGAGTCCGGTTGGACCAGAACAAAAAGAACCAATCGTAGTTTAACGGAGGGAGGCGGTCGTATTCTGTGGCTTCTAGCAGAACCAGATCCAAACTTGATCTGCCGACTGATTGAGGTCCGTCAGCCTCCTGGTTCTGAACGGCGGCTCTGCGGCTCTGCCTCTGCCCTGCAGGGACCTGCCGTAATTAAATTCCCATGATGCTCTGCTTCCAGAGGGAGGGGGAGGGGAGGACCAACACAGAGCGTGCGCCCCCAGAGCCACAGATTAAACGCCGGCCAAGCGGGCCACAGCAGCTCATGAATAGAACCAGGAGGGTCCGGATTGGACCAGAACCGGCCTGACATTTACAGCTCTAAAGGTCAACAAACACCTGGAGCCTCCGGGTCCAGAACTCTTGGTTCTGTCCAGAAACGGACAGAAAACGTGGCTCAGCTCCACCGGACACGTTCAACACAGGCTGCTGCCCCCAGGTGGCCACTACTGGTCACTGCACTAAGCCTAGCATCTAAACTGGTTTATAATGGTTTAAACTGTTTCCAGCCCAAGTGCCAGTCAGGTCCATTTCTCCACTGGTGTCAGTTTAAACCAGTTATGTTTTCTGGTTCACACTGGTCCTGTCCAGTGACTGGTGCTGATCTGACCCAGTTCAGCACTGGTATTAACCTCAGAACCAGTTTCCGCTTCAGTGCTAAACTCTGGTTCTGAACTGGTTTCGAACACCAATTGAAACTGGTTTTATTTTGGTTTCATGCTGGTCTTGGCCTAAGGTTGAATCTGAGTCTGGCTTTGGTTTGAAACTGGTTTTACTGGTTTTAGTTTAAAACTGGTCAAAGTTTTTACAGATTCAGACTCTGGTTTAAAACCAGTGTGAAGGTTTTGGCCTTAAACTATGGACTGATTTTGGTTTAATACTGGTTTTGGCTTTGGTTCTGGACCGGTTTAAATGGGCGTTGCCATGGCAGCAGCAGCATCAGCGGTGTCGAGCCTCCAGTAGGACATGAAGGTTATTTTTGATGCCTTGCTCGTTTTCCTAGAGTGTTTGTGTCAGCGGCGGGTTTAAACGTTGCGGGTCGACTAAACGTATGCACACACCAGAACACACACGCAGTGGTGTTGGTAATTACTGCCAGCGCTCTCAGCTACTGTGGCTGACATTCGCGCAGAGGGAGGTGGCGCCGAGGCAATTTGTGAACTCTGACACCGGCAACCTTTAGCAGCACAAACAGAACAACCCAAACAGCCGACGTTTCCAGCGGGACGCGCGGCGGGCCGTCAGGCGGGCCGGCCGGCCGGCCGCGCGCCGGCAGACAGGCGGCGGCCTCAGGAAACACAAATTAAAAGCCTTAAATGTCAGCGCACACACTATTGCTCTGCGACACAGGTCATTACTCCGCACATTATTCGCAGCATTTTACAGCATTAATAACCTGGAAAATATTGCAGACGATTGTTCTCCCTCTGAGAGGCTCACAGGAGGGAGGAGGGAGGGATGTACCTCAGGGGTCCGGTTCTGAACCCGACCAGAACTTGACCAGAACCCAGACCAGTCTGAACCCGCTCTGAGAGGTGGAGGAGGCTTCACAGGATGGAGGCGGGGAGGGATACACCTCAGGGCTCCAGTTCTGACCCAAACAGAACCCAGACCAGTCTGAACCCAACCAGAACCTGACCAGTCAGAACCCGGTCCGACCCGCCGGCTTCCCCCTCATTAATCGACTTTAAAGGGCTTCCTGCTGCGGTTCACCTGGCGGACCCACTGAGCACCTGCAAGGGGAACGCCCAATCAGCTCTGGTCCGGGGTCACGGGATCACCAGTCAAAGAGGAAATTTCAGACTCTGGGGGTCAGAGGTCGGCTTTGAAAGCTACACCGCAGATATGCTGGTGTCTATCCAGGCAGCTCAGTGACTGCTCTGGTTTACTTATACTGGCTTTGACTCCAAACTGGTTTAAAACCAGTTTGGAGCCAGTTTAGCTTTCCATCTGGACCGGGCTTGCTTCATGACTGGTTTGGTTTTGTTGTTTGTCTTGGTTTACTTCTGGTTTACACTTCTGAATAAACTAGTTTTGGCTTTGGTTTATTTCTGTTTATTTCCTTGGTTTACAGCCGGTTCTGGTTTAAACTGGTTCTGTCTGGTTTAAACCGGTTCTGATTGTTGTCAGAACTTTTGTTCGGCTTTGAATAGCTTTATTCTTGGTCAAATCCAGGTGTGGGTCTTTCACTAACAGGTGTAATTAGTAAAAACATCTTAACATGTAAACATGTGTTTAATGAATGGAAATAAACCCAGACAGGAGCAGAACCTGAGGTTAAAGCTGTGATGTCATTTCCTGGTGATCTGGGTTTGTTTTGGTATTTTTTAGCTAAACCGACGATTTCAATTTAAAGCTGTATTATAATGTATGTGTGAAGCTGAAGCTGTGAACCAAGCAGGTGATCTCACCTGCGAGTGTGTGTGTGTGTGTGTGTGTGTGTGTGTGCATGTGGTCGGCCGCAGAGGGCGGTCCCCCATCGTAAATTACCCGGGCCTCGCTCTGACACCTAGATACTTCACCAGCCGCCCGGCGTGACAGGCCGGCGGCCGACTGAGCGCGCTCAGTGCTTAATGGCTAAATTGGGAAGACTGTTACTAATCGCTTATTGAATAATGAAAGTGACACAGCTGATAAAAGATTTCAATACCCTGGATTATTTATAATATTTCACTTAAGCTGACTAATCGGGGGGCGAGTCTGCTGCTGACGGGCGGAGGAGGCGAGGACAGAGAGGAGCGATGGCGGCGCAGGATTAAAGGAATAAAGACAGAATAAAGAGAGAAAATCACATTTACTCAGAGCGCAGGATGCAGCGCCCATCCATCACTCAGGCAGCCACTCGTCATGTCTGCTGCTTGTTGCCGCGGTGATGGAGAGACCAACATTACACATCTGCTGCAGCCGCCACATCTGTTCAGCCATGCACAGACTGCCTCCATTAGCAACGCCGAGTCAGAGAGAGACAGCCAACTGCTGGCCGGGAACCCACCAAGGGCGGGGCTACGCTGGGACCGGCCAATCAGGACGCTTCTGCTGCTAACTGAACCTTTATTCCAGGAAGTCAGTGAGTGATGATGGAGGCCTTGATTGGTTGGTAGCAACAGAACCAGAGCAGGAGGTTCAAGAGCCCAGATCAGACCCGACAAGGCGAAAACGGATCTGGTTAGATCAGACCTGAACTCTAATGGACTCTAGCAGGCAGATCCTGACAGAACTCTAGTCAGATTCTGACTGAACCCTAGCCGTCCTCCAGTCAGACAGCCAGGGTCCGACTGGAGTGCAAATACAATAATTTGCACTGTTTGCTACGGTGAATCGTAGCAAACAGACATTTTGTTTAAACTTTTGAAACAAATCAAAGATGGAGGACAAGATGAAGGGCTGAGGAATGAGGATGGAGAGATCCCTCACTCCCTCTGGAGGTCAGGAGTCTCAGACGATCACATGGTGGCGTTTCCAAACCCGGGTCTCAGATACCGCTCACGGTAGCGTGTCCGCGGGCCGGACCAGAACCGGTCCAGGGGTCAGACCCGGGTCAGGAAAGTGAGGCGAGGGGAGGGGGGATGGCGTTACCTTCCGCAGTACCAGAGAGGCCGTCTGCCTTGAAGTTGCTGGTGCTCTTCTTCCGCCGGTGCTTCTTGCGGTTGGCGTGCGGCGATGGGGGCGGCTCCATCTTTGGACTGGTGGTACTGGAGATACTGGGACTGGAACAGACCGAGTCGCCCAAACCAGTGTCTGCAACATAGAGCAGCAATAAGACAGAAGACACAAGGTTTACACGAGCCTGAGTTCAGGTAAGTGTTATGCTTATTGGGTCCAAACCAGTCTAAACCGGTACCAGACCAGTCTAAACCGGTACCAGACCATTCTAAAATGGAATCAGTCTAGACTGGGTCGTAGTCCAGACTTAACACTGGTCTTAGGGAGATCTACTGGCTTGATTTTCCACTAATCTGGTTTGAGTGTTTAAATCTAAACGTGTTGAAGGTTAAACTGGTTTTAAACCAGTCCTATATGGTTTTGATATCCAGTCTGCCAGGTCACCAGGCAGACTGGACTTTCTACCGTACTGGTTTTGGCTTTGGATTTTGTTGATCCACTGGTTCAGGCCCCGGGTTTTTGAACTTTAATCTAAATCAAATTAAACTGGTTAGAACTGGTTGTTCTAGATACTGGTAAACTGGTACTGGTCTTAGTGTTGCTCTGATTTTAGACGGGTTCTCTACCAGGACTGGTGTTAGACTGGAACCATGCCTAACTGGTTTAGGACTGATTTTATACTGGTTGTAGTGAAGGCAGTAAATCAGTCATGGACTGGTTTTAATCTGGTCTTTCAGATTTTATTGTCACTGGACAAAGACAAACCAGTGAATCTGGTTCTGAAATGTCCTAATGTTGGTTCAGAACCAGGATTCGGGTCAGATTAGAGTATTTTATAATAAAACGGATCAATGCGGTGTTCAGACGTAGTTTTGATTATTATTTTCACTAAACCTGGTTGGAGGAAAGTTTTATTTCAGTCTCCTGGTTCATGGGTCTGTGTGGATGTTTGTTAGTTTTGGTGTCTGTAAGGTTGCGACCTGCTGTGATTTGTGTGTTAGCTGATGCAGTAGTCGGTAGAGCCTGAGCCTCACCGCCGCGTCTCTCTGGCCTCCCTCTGCAGGCTGACAGCTGTGACCAGCGGCGGAATAAAATAACATTCAGCTCCCATCAATCGGCCGGCGCGGCGGCGCGCTGACAGCGGCTCCGTGCGTCTTAACGGAACCCCGACCCGTGCGGCGCCCCAAGGACGGCCATAACTTACTTTACAATCGTTTAGTCTCAGCTCAAGTGGAAAATGTGACAACTTATCTCTGCTGACAAGACGCCGTCCCCGAGCGGCAATTAACGGCCGCCATCTGCAGACCTGCTCCACTCCGCAGCGCCCCCCGCAGCATCACTCTGCCGCCCCAGAACGGGTCGCAGCAGAACCGCAGCTGGGAAAGGTTTTATATTCATTTAATAACTGGATGCTTCAGCTACACTGTAAAAATGAGCTTCACTTCAGGTAAAGTTAACTAGAGTAATTCTGTTTTTATCAGAACCTCTCAGGAACATTTACATGTAGATCCTGGAACCAACCTGACCTCTGGGTCCATTTCAATAACTTACTTTCTATTTCAAAACTCATTTGTGTTTCTAATGTGTTTTTATTTAATAATTTGGACTTTATCTCTGGTAGCAGTTTTCTGATTTATTGGTAAAATGTTTGGAGAAAATATTTGATATGAATTTGAAAGAAATAACCTGAAAAAAATTGAAAGGTTTTAAACTGTGGATGAAATTCATTAGGATTCAACTTCATTAAACTTTACAAACTGGTTTGAACTGGTTTTTGGATGTTTTAGACTGGATGAAGTGTGGAAATGGTTTAGCATAATGGTGTGAGGTTTGTTTCAACCAGTTTTCTGTTTCTATTAAACTGGTTTGAAACCAGTTCCATGTGTTTGTTGATCGTCAGTGTGGAGGAGTTGAGTACCAGCAGCAACACTTCTCCTCCCCACCAGCTTCACAGCTTTAAACGCTGCTTAAGTGCTTAAGGACGGCCGGCGGGGGGGCTGCCAGTCAGGCTTATCGTCATGACAACACGCGGCCTGACAGCTGTCACTCTGTGTGTGTGTGTTTGGTCCTGAGGACGTAATGCTGCCACTTCAAGTCAAGCACACACCCCAGCAGCCACAAAGCCCCACCATGCAGCTGCACCGTGAGGCCCACCGGGGCCCCTGGTGCAGCGTGTGGCCTCCCAGCCTCCTACCTGTGCTGACTCCAGAGTTGGCGATGACGGTGGCGTCGGCCCACTGGTCGGCGCTGGAGACGGAGTAGGAGCGCTGGTGGAGGCCCTCCAGGCCGCGGCTGTTGAAGGACACCAGGCTGACGCCACTTGCCATCTGGGACGCCGACGCGCTGCTGGACACCGAGCCTGAGGGGTCAAGAGGTCAGCAGACTGCCCTCTTCAGGCAGCACAGGGAACTACAGGACTAAACATCACAGCTGAAACCAATAATTTGATTAATTGTGATGAATTGACCGATTTAGTAATCGATTAATTGGCCACTGGCTGGAAGAACAACACTTTCAGAGCAGCAGCTAGTTTCATGACTGTTTTATCTTTTTCAATAAAAATCTAAGATTTTGAGAAGCTGATTAAGAAGATTTACAAGAATATAAGTGATATTTAAATTTGGTAAATGTGACTTTTCGTTCATAATCGTATTGATAATGACCTCTAACCTGACATGAAGTCAGAGAAACACTGCCACCTGCAGGTGGGAGGTAGTATCACTCTGTTTTTGACTATTTTCTCCTGCATTTCCTCCTCCTGTGTTTCCTCTTCCTGTCTTCCTGTTTCCTCTCCAAGTGTTTCCTCCCCCCTTTCGGTCTCATCACAGCCTGCTCTCTGACTGCATTAATATTCATGGCAGTAATTAGTGATGGATCCTGAATATTCATGCTCTCAGCGGTTCTCCTGCTTGATTTAAGCCTCAGAGCTGCTTTTATGTAGCGGAGCGCGACACGCGGCGGCGCCCCCCGGCTTTTGTTTTACGACGCCTCCTTCAGGTGAAGCGCAGCGCCTGTTCTGCCAAGGCCGGCCCGGTTCTGAAGGATCCAGATGATAAACAGGTGCTGCTGGCCTGCAGTCGGCTCAGATCATCAAACATTCAGGAATCGGCAGAACGCTGGCATTTCCTACACCGCTCCGCTTCCTGAACACAGCAGGAGGGTGTACTAACTTTTCATCACCAGTTATATTTTTCGACAGTTTTGGATGAATTGTTGCTCTGAATATGTTGTTTTTCACCAAATATTCCTCCTGTTAATCAATAATCAGAATTAATCTGATTGGTCCTTTCAACCCGGATTAAAAATACAGTCTGATAAACTAAAACCTCAGTCCACGGGGAACAGTTTGGGCCCCTGAAACTGACCTGAGGTCGGTCCCAGCTGGACGTTGCTCATGTCCTTCACCAGACCGTTGGCGTTCTGGTTGGGCCCGGCGCCGCAGGCTGAGACGGCCCGCGGTGGCCTCTTTCCCGGAACCTTAACGGTGGTTCGCAGAAGATCGATCTCCTTACCGTGAACGTTCTGCATGTAGTCCTGAGAGAGAGAGAGAGGGAGAGAGCAATAAGGCCAACACAGTAAATAAAAATAAATGCACATTACTTGTTTAAATAAAGTTTTATTTTACGTTAGCGAACACCGCTGGATTTTATTTAAGCCTCAGTGACTTTCTGATCGAATAAAGACAGAAATAACAAAACAATAACAAGTTTTTAAATAACCTGTTATGCTTTATTCAGCTGACCAAACGTTCTGGAATTCCGTGGGGTTGCTAGGTGATGGGAGGAACTCTGTGGGGTGGCTAGGTAACGGGCGGAACTCTCCTGGGTTGCTAGGTAACGGACAGAACTCTGTCTGCTAATCATTTTTGTTTTAAAGACACTAAAAACATTTTAAACTAATCATCTGGATGTTTTTTAGTTCTTTGCTGTTTTAAGAAGCGACGGAAACTCAGATGGAAGAAAAGAAAAGAAAAGGTGAATTTAAACAATTCGCTCCTTTAATGGAAGAGAAACTGATTCCAGCTGGAAGCAAACATTTTATTTATTAAACTTATCAAACATAAAGATAATATTCTACGATCAAAAGCAAAATTATCCCAAACATTGTATGTGTTATCAGCCAGTCGATCGGTTGTGGTTCTGTTCTTTTGGACTTGCAGTCTGACACCACAGGGGAAACAAAGTAATCCTGTTTATCGGAGCCGGCTGCTGATTGGCTGCAGCAGCTTTGGGGGCGGAGAATAAACTGAGAGGGGCGGAGCCTAACCTGAGAGGGGCAGGGGGGGCCTAGCGGGGATCAGGCACAGAAAGCTGCAGCGATCCGGATCAGAACCACCAGGGCAGACGACCGCCTGGCTGGACAGAACCAGAACCGATCCAAACTAGGCCTAAACTGGACCAGAAACTAAGACTGAACTGAACCAGCTGAAGCCCAAACAATCAGAACCAAAACCAGCTGAAATGGGTCCAAACCAGACCAGGAGTTTTACTCAGAACCGAGCCGGACCCGGCACCAGGTGGAGCCCAAAACCCTAAACCCGTCCAGAAAAAGAACCAACATGGTTCTGAATCAATAACCTGAAGGAAACCAGAACCAGAACCGGTCCAAACCCGACCCGATCAACAGAACCAGTCAGAACTGGTCAACAGGTCCGGTACTAGACCTGTGGTTGTTTACATCCTGTGTGGTTCTAACGGGTTTGGACCGGCGCCAAGCAACCCGACACGTCTGATGAAGAGGCTGAGAATAACGACCCGCAGTAACTGCTGCCACCGCCGTGCCGTAAATAATAACCATAAACTAGATTATTAACAACACACACACACACACACACACACACACACACACACACTCTCTCTCTCTCTTTCTCTCTCTCTGATCGTCCCGCCTCCTCCTGGCAGCTCTCCTGACAAAGGGCCTATTCAAAGCCTAGTGCTCTCCAGGGCCTCGCCGGGGCTGCTGGGTAAACGCTCCGACAGATTGACGCCCTAATGACTCTCCATCTGCATCCAACGCTTTCATCAGTGCCCGTCGCTAAGGCAATGGCTGAGAGGACGGAGGGCAAGATGGAGCATGGAGCGAGAGAGAAGACGGGTCCGCTTGGCGCCGGTCTGATTGACGGAGCAGAACCAGCAGATCTACTGGTGGCCTGGCAACAAGCTGGTTCTGCAGAACCCAGAACCAGAACAGGTTCACACATGACTCAGAGTCAGTTCTGGTTTGCAGAAGATGATTCAGTTTTCGCCAGTTCTTCTGTGCGTAGCGACTCGGACGGATCAGAACCAGAACCTGGATCAGAACCAGTCAGTGACTCTGGTTTGTTCCTGATTGGTTCTCTAATTAGTGGTGTTGCTGTGGTTCCTCAGCAGTCGGGTTGTTAGCGCCTCTGATTGGATCCAGCGGGTTAGCCGCCGCACCGCGGCGTTGCTAACTGATCCAGGTCGGTCGGTCTGCGCTGCTGCAGGCGTCGGGCTGTTTATGCGGCGCTGATGTGTTAATGATGAGTTTAACTCTAATTTGCTGCTTCAGCTCCTCTAATGGCTGACTGACGGGAGCAGAGAGGCGAAGTGTGGCGACGGCTCTGCAGGGAATCAAACCAGCAACTCCCTGCTGCTGCTAAACTGTACTTCACTACTCAGGGTCAGGAAGGTTCAAGCTGAAGACAGGAAACAGTTTCCTGTCTTCAGGAAACTGTTTGTCACCTGATATTTAGGTGACTATCAGCTGCTTTAGGTCATAAAATGTTGTTTCATGTCAGAACTGAGGCTATGGGAGGCTAAAAGAGACAAATTTAGTTCTGACTTTTAGTTGGACGGCAACAGCATTAAGACATAAAACTAAGCTATGAATGACAGCCTGTCCCAAGACAAGATTAATAAACAAAGCATCAACAACCAGTCAAACATTAATTACCGTATTTTCCGCACTATAAGACGCACCTAAAAACCTTCAATTTCCTCAAAAGCCTTATAATCCGGTGTGCCTTATATATGGACCAATATTGAGCCACAGCAAGTCTAGCAACTACGGTAAGCAGCCGCCAACTTAATTTTCGGCCGTAGAAGAAGATGCGCACGGTGCGTGCTGGGATAGTTGTCAGAACGCTGGTTTGTTAATAAAGTTTGACTGACCTATCTACCTACCGACCGTCTATAATCAGGTCATCTGCAGGTTATTTAGCACCATGTTCTCCACGAACATGCTGTGCGTGAACAGAGAAGGGTGACCATCGCCCGGCCACGTCCTGGCCCAGGAAGTCTCTCCTCGCCGACCGGAGTCGGACTGTTTGTTGACATTCACTTTAGTTCAGCTCCATCTAGTGGATGAATAACGTAACTCCAGCCTCTACTGTAGCGTCTATTCTATGCGCATCATAATGCGGTGCGCCTTATATATGACAAAAGTCTTAAAATAGGCCATTCATAGAAGATGTGCCTTATAATCGGGTGCGCCTCATAATGTGGAAAATACGGTAATCTGGAAAACTTAAACTTTTCTGACATTATGAAAAATAAAGAAAAACTTAAAAAACCCAGGAAGTAAAACTTAACAGCTGAGAAAACAAGTTCAGCAATCAAAACCAAAGCAAAGAATAAACTCAACAATTCAAAACCTGATTAAAACTAGCAAGATGCTAATGACAGTTAGCTGTATGCTAATGACGGTTAGCTAAAAGGTAATGAAAACTAGCTAAATACTAAAATTTGCTAAAAGGCAACAAAAAGTAGCTAAATACTAAAAATTGATAAATACTACAGAAAACTGAAAAATACTAATAAAAATTTAGCTAAATGCCAAAAAAAAACTGGCCAAAAGTTAAAAAGAACTAGCTAAATGCTAATAAAAAATTGCTAAAACTGAAATGTGCTAAATGGCAATAAAAACTATCTAAAAATTAAAAAAAAAATTCTAAATGCTAATAACTGGGTAAATGTGAGTTTGGTGAGTTTTCTGGTGAAAAGTTGAAGACGACGGACAGGAAGTGGTGGGAGGATGATGGTGAGGAATGTTTTTTAATAACTTGTCTCGTGAACAAACTTATTCACATGTTTTAATTATATTTCTAAGGTAATGGAAACTGCATTTTTGGGTTGTTAGCAGAATATCAACAACATTTTGTACACATTTGTGATAGAAACGCAGCAAATGAGAGCAAAGCAACAGGCCGACCTGCAGTGATTCCCTATCAAGAACGGCTTGGCCAGGGAAAGCCTCCTCTCGTCTCTAATAAACTCAGACCTGCAGCGGTCGGTTCTCCAGACCTGCAGCGGTCGGTTCTCCAGACCTGCAGCGGTCGGTTCTCCTGACCCGGATCCTCCTGCTCTCTGTGAGGAAGCAGCAGGTCTTTGCCTGCTGCCATAAAGCTTCTCTGAGCCAACAGGGTAATTAGCAGACACATTAGAGCTGATGTCCCCATCATGGTGGGCAAACAGATGACGAGTCCTAATTGATACACAGAGTGTGTGTTATGGCCAAACAGGAGGGTAATGTTGGCCATCAGCTTACATGGAGGCTGGGGTGGTAGGTGAGCAGTCCGTTATCGCACAGCGTCACGTACTTCTTCTTCCACTCCTTGTTGAGGGATTTGCCGCTCCTCTTCATCAGCATGCCCTGCAGGAAGCAGCACTGGGTTAGTCATCGGGAACAGTCATTACAGAACTACAGCGTCACACCCAGAGACTGGAGCCGACAGCAACAATATGAGCTGGAAATAAAAACGATCTAACACATGAAAACAAGAAGAAGGTTAGAAACATCAGATGGAAATAAAAACTATCCTGTTGGAGAAAGCAAGAGGAAAGTAACACTGAGAAGCAACATCATCAGTTCAAGCTCCGGTTGCTTTCATACAAAATCCGTCCTTAGTCTGTTTGACCTGCTGGGAATTTTATATGACGAAGATGAAGAACCCACCAGAACTGGACCAGAGACCAAAAGTCTACCGGCTAGTACCACCGTCAAAATTTAAAAAAAAATATTAGTCCCATCATTACCTAACAGATTAAATTAACCTAAAACAACCTTCAGTTGATCAAGAGGCTCCATGGACTGATACCAAATGATCTCCTGCTGTGGTTCTGTGGTGCTGATGGGGCTCTTTAAGGTGATGCTAACGAGGTTTGGACCAAAAGCGGGTCAAACTACCCAAACATTGATGTGAGTTCTCGTTGGCCAACATGAGGACGTTCTGTCAGCTTCAACTCTGACTCACAGCGTCCTAATTGTGCATTTAGCCAACATCTCGATTGGTCGAAGCTCAAGCTAAATGACCACCAGGGTCTGTGGAGTGGAGATAACGAGCTCACAGCCAGAAGACGTCAGGAATCCAAACATCCAGTCAGAGGAGCTGAATGGGAGAAAATGTGGGGAAATCAGCACTTATTTAATTGTCTGGATCTTTATTTCTCTCTCCTACGCACATCAGCCGCGGCCGAGTGAGCGTTTAGGCCCGCCGCTCGCTCTCCGCTTCTTCGCCGCCCACACTTCATTTGAGCAGCATTCATTAGGTACGAGGGGAGAGCAGGAAGGTCAAAAAGGAGGCGAGAGGGAGGCGGCGGCGGGGGATAAAACCGTCCGCTGATTAGCAATTACAGCCGCGCTGCCACGCGTGTCACTTCACTGGACCTCTACAACATTAACACTCCGACACAGAGTATTAATAGAGTCCGCTGTGAAGGGAGGAAGAGCGGGAGGAGGAGGAGGACGGACAGGCCGGATGATGGACAGAAGCTTGCTTTCCGCTCAGCTCTCATTAAGGCGGTGGGTGGCGGTGGGACGCCGTGGCGGCCGGCATGACCCCCGCCGGCTCGCTGTAATTGGCGGCGACAAAACGCCACGAAGAAACGCTTCAGAGTGACAGCGAGGCGCAGAGACGGAGCTGGAGACGGTTCTGATCTCAGGCCGCGGCGGCCATGTTCAAACTCATCCCAGCTGCTGTCAGGAAGCTGTGGCGTCTCAGCGCGCCGCTGGAACAACATGGCTTCCCCGCGGCGCGCTAAACGCGACGTGACGAGCTTCCCGCCGCGGCCAAGTGAAGGCCGCCGGCAGCTGAGAGCTGTCAGGCCAGCTGAGCGTCCGTTGGCGCCTTCTAGCTAGCGGCTAACCGGGTCAGCGCCGCCACCTGGGATCATCTCAGCTCAGTGGAGATTCCCTAAAACGGCCTAGACCAAGTCACAGCAGGACCAGAACCACAGGCAGATCAGAAATATTCAGGGATACTGACCCTGTTGGTCCCAAAAGCTGTTAACTTTAATCCTTTGACCTTTGAACTCTAATCCTAAAGCTGAAGATGAGTTATTCATTTATTTCACCAAATGAAAACTGAAACTTTCTTTTCAAACTGAGTAAACAGATTTCCAGGAGAAAGAATCAGATAAATGTTTGGTTTTATTTCACTAAGGTTCCTATTTGGACAGGAAACAGGAAATAACGCATCACTTCCTCCAGCACCAGATTAATTCCCAGCATCCCTCCTGAGGATGACAAGCGATCAGTTAGCATGAGAGGAAGGCTAATTGAAACCCTCCTGATGGGTAATATCCTCCATTATTCACCTCTGTGACACACTTGTTTTACCTTCGGGAGGCGGCGGGGCCGCGGCGGCCATGACGGCCCACAAGGTCCCTGCTGGGAGGATGGATGTAAGATAAATACTTCCAGAGATGGACTCTCTGAGCCCGGTGAAGTATGGCGAGGCAGTGCTTAGGAAAAGGTCGGCAGATGAAGTCATTTGTTAGGCATCCCAAAACGTCCGAGGGCGCCGCCGAGGATTGTGGTTCAGGTCGTGTTGAGTGGCGGCGGTGGATCCCTGAAAACGCTGCGGCGCTGTGAGGGATGACAGGAAAAGGTCGGCGGCTCGGGGGAAGCCGAGAGACGAGTCATTCGTTAGGAGAAACGCTGGCGGAGTTGGACCGGGCCTCTGATTAAAGAGCCGCGCTGTCACGAGTCCGATCCGTCCAGAAGACGGAGACACAAAGACAGCGGGACAGCTTCTGTCCTGGCAGCAGAGGAACATCAAACCCATTAAACCTGCTGAGCAGAACCAGATAAAGAACCGTCCAATAATCTGCCTCTAATCGCTCAATCGCCCCCATTCTGCTCACACAATGGACGCCTCCCTCCGCCGACGGCCTGACAGCACAGATATCCCAGGATCCTCGGGACAAACCCTCGGCCCTTTGTCTCCAGGATCAGGAGGATCAATCAGAACCTTCCTGCATCTGATCCGGGCCGGACTCCGACCCGGGTCATCCATCATCCCCTCAGACAGGCCCGGAGTGTGGGCCGCTGATTACAGACGTCCAGCAGACAAAGAGCAGGACGGAGGCAGGAGGCGGCGCCGTTCGACCTGGTCAGAGCCAACACTGACCCAAACGGTGAGGTCCATCAACGGAACCAATCACAGCAACGGAACCAATCACAGCAACGGCCAGAGACCTCAGGAGAAGTTCTGGAAAGTTCCCCTGAAAGACTGACGGGTCTGTGCTTGAACTAACAGAACCAACACATCGGGCCAGTGGTTCTGAACCAAACCGTCCTCAGGTTCTGGTCCAAATAAAAAGATTTCCTTCAACAAAACGAGACCCAACCTGAGAGTTGATGTGATTCATAAACCCAACTTTCAACAACAGACCATGAACTTTGATTATTTTGATCAATTTTACTAAAATCTTAAAAAAAAAAAATCACCAAACGTGATCAGAAACAGAGACGTCTCCAATCAATTTACCTCAAAACTACTGATAATGATTCAGAGTTCAGACCAAGAACTCGTCCAATCAGCTGACCAATCAGAGGGCAGGAAGCTGTAAGGTCAGACCAATCACCAACATGGAGGACAATGATTGGACAGAGATCTTTTCTGATTGGTTGGACAGTTTCTATGTTTAACCAATCAGACTTTTCCCTAAAGAACATCAGTCCAGGTGTATCTTTAGAAAGTTCCCCAGGTGTAGAATGTACCAGTGACCTGATGGACCCAATGACCTGATGGACCCTGTGACCTCAGGGGCCCGGTAACCTGATGGACCCTGTGACCTCAGGGGCCCGGTAACCTGATGGACCCGATGACCTGATGAACCCGGCATCTCCTCCAGAGATGCTGGAACAGAAAACTGTTAGGCCTGGTTCTGGTTCTGTGGGACCTTCCTTTGTGTCCGTAGAAAGGTGCAGGTTCCTCCTGAACATGGCGTTCAGAGCAGGCCAGGTTTATCCGCTCTCCTTCCTGATGATGAAAGTTGCTGCTTCACCTGCAGCGAACAGGAAGCCCCACAGTGGCGTGAGGACCGGAGGCGCCGCGGAGCAGCATCCGTCTCCACCAAGGTCGGCGCTGATGAGGCGAGGACGGCGGCGCGGGGCGAGCCCAGGGGAGCGGCGCCGAGCGAGCGGATCAAACAACAGCAGAGAGGAAGAGGAGCTGATTTATCTGATCAGAGTTCTGGGTCATTAATTAGAAACTCAATTATCCAAACCTTCCTTCATTAGAGGAAGGAGCGGCTCCTCTTCCTGGCCAGTCGTGGCGGCCAGCGGCCGAACCATTGCGCTCCGAGCGCCGCCGCCATGTTGGCCCTGGTAATGAGCAGGAGGCACTTGCTGCTGCCTGATTGACGCCTGAGTTCCTGGTTTTAATTATTCCTCGGACCAGAACGGCCCCCCCGCTCCTGGAAGCTCATTTGCCGGGTTGGTGTGCATGACAGAAATGTCATCAGGGCCAAAATGGCTCCCAGCGCTGACAGCCTTTCTCAGGGAAATGATATTCTTCGGATCCGGCGGAGGGCGGGTCGGTGGGCCTCGTTAAAGCCTGATAGCAGGTCTTTAATATTCACCGTCTTAATTAGGGCTGCAGTTAATTTCATTAAATTCTTTGGCTGCTAAATGAAGCAGATTATGAGACATCTTTTATTGCGAAGCGTGAAATTACAGCCTGCCGCTGCCAGTGGCGCCGCTAATGAATTACAGGGTAAATAACGCCCGAAATCAGCCCCCAATTTAAAGAGAGAGAGAAGGGGGGGGGGGGGCCCGGCCCACAGAGGCTCTGGACCAGGATCAACCAGAACCAACCAGAACCAGGGGAAAGGCTCACCTGGACCAGGTTTATCCAGATGTTTCCTGAACAAACTGACAGATTTTCATCTAAGCTCGAAAAAAAGAATAATTTGAAAAGTCAGACCAGTTAAACAATCACCAATCTATAAGAAATATTCAGCTTTACTTCACAACTAGAACCAGCTCAACCAGTTAAAGGTGAACTGGTTCTTTGAACAGGTTGGGATCTGTGGCTTAAACAAAACCTGCTGATCACATTTTTTTATTCTTACACAATCAGATTTCAGTCTGATTGGTTCTTCCTGTTCTGAGATGTTTCAAGGTCTCTGTCAATTTAAATCCAGATAATTTGCTGCTGACCACGACCCCAACTCAACGTTTATACAAAATGGCTGCAGACAGACACAACCAGACATGTCTGAAAAGCACAAGTGGAGCCTCCTGCACAACCAACCAGAAAGCTGCAACAAAACTTCTGTCTTTTCCAGCAGCCACTGTACAGCCAGAAAACCAGCTGACAGAACGCTGGAGATCAGCTGCGGTTGCTAGGTAACAGGTTAAGTTCCACTGTGGTTGCTATGTAACAGGCTTATAATCTGTGACATTCTGGAGGTTTCTGGGTTCATTTTCCAGACACCAGAAACTTGATCTTATTGCCAAACTAATTTATTTTCAGTTTGTTTCTAGAAGCAGCTGAGATGCAAACAGAAGAACTGAAACATGAAGTGAGTTCGTCGCCTTTAAGACGGAGCAGTTGGACCCTGATGAGAGCAGAAACCAGCGATGCGTTCAGGGACAGGGATTAGGGGTCCACTGGGACCCGTTTGGAGGGTCCGGGTCCGGCTCAGGGAGGGAGTAGAACCAACAACCCGGCGGCTCAGCTGCTGTTTTTACAGCAAATTAATTTGTCAGACTGTTGCTGTTCAAAGCTCCCTGGTCAGCCTCTCTCCGGTAATTATCGGTTAATTAGCGGCGCAGAGCAGATGTCGGAGGATCCCCGCGCCGTAAACAAACGCAGCACAGGAGGAGAAGAAGAAGAAGAGGAGGAACAGGAGGAGGAGGACAGAGCAGCCGGCGGCTCCTCTGAGGCTCGGCGCTGCAGGGAGGCTCTAGAGATCAAAACCAGTCAGGAAAACGGACATTTTTCCTGCATTTTGGCTGCACCTGAACGCCTCTCCAAGCGTCCAGGTCTGGATCCAGAATGTCAAAGTTTTTCTCCAGGCAGGTTAAATTCTGGGTAATGACTCGTTTACGCTAGTGAATCAGACTTTGGGTGATTTCTGAACAGTTCAGCAGAACCTGAACTCTGAGCTGCAGCCCAGCAGCAGGTCTCCAAGTCCTAGTCCAAGCCCAGCTGAGGCTCCCCGAGTGGGGCTGTAATTGGGTGTTTTATCAGTGGAGTGTGTGCAGGTCGTGCTGGCGGCGTGCGGCCAGCGCCGGGTGTGTTTGTGTTCATTTATGGCTCTAATTGAGTCAGAGTGGAGGATCAGAGCGCCGCTCTCAGCCCAGAGTGTGTGTGAGTGCTTTTAATGAGTGTCGCTCTCCTAACGAGGGCGTTCCCGCGGTAACAAAAGGCTAAGCCAGGCGCCGACACCTCGAGTTGTTGGAGAGCAGCGCTAATGAGCCGGCGGCCGGACACACGGACCGCGGCGGCGGCGCACACACAGCCTGAGGAGAGGAGAGCTGAAGGCGTTTACACTGACACTCAGCAGCAAATTAAACCAATCAGGACCAGTTAACCAGTCCAGTTAAACCAGTAAATTAAACCATCTACAGTCACTGGACCAACCTGAACCAGACAACATGGCTGACAAACATTTTACCAGCTCATTGTCTGTATTATTGATCATCTGAATTATTGATCATCATCATCAATAATGATGATGATGAAACAGAGATGAAACGTCATCTCTGTTTCATCCACTTTCCTCTCCAAACCCTGTTCAATCTTAAACCAGCTGTGAAACTTTAAGCTGCTACTCAACAGGTCGTTGCTAGACAACCAAAGTTTGGGGGAGCCGTAAACTGCTGTTGCTAGGCAACCAAAGAGTGAGAGAGTGAGTTGAAGTCGATAACTAAACGGTTTGTTCCTTTAGCTCATTTAAATTATTAAATAGTTTTGTTTTGTATTTTGTTCAGTTTGTCATTCCTGCTCAGAAAACAAAGTTTAATAAACGTGTTGGGGTAAATAAATTATGTAATAAACATTTTAAATACTAAAATGAAAAATTTTTATCAAATAGATTCATTTGTAAGTACTTGCAATTATTTCAGTCCATATTTATTTTTTAATAAAGTGAAACAATTCGGTTTGGTAGGTTCGAGAGCTGCTGCCAGGTTCCCTCCATTTCCCAGGAAAGGTGGGAATCGCCATAGCAACCAGTGACTCAGCATTTTCCTAATCAATTATTTAGTAGGTGCAGAGCAGACAGAAAGTGTTTTCATTGTTTTTATTCTAAAAAGGTAGTGGAGGTCACAAGGAGCTGGAGGTCAAGGTGAGCTGGAGGTCAGGCGGAGCAGTGTGTGTGAAGGAGCTGCTAATGGAGGACAGTACAGCGCTAATGTCTGGACCTTTTATTTACGGCCAGGGTAAATAAAACACTCTGAGTGTAATTATGGAGCGGCATCTGTCAGGATCATCAACCAGTGAACACACACTTCCTGCGGAAGCAGCTGGAGCCGCTGGCCCGTTTCTGGTCCAGAACATGGCTGATCAGCAGGGTGGAGACGATGTTTCTGCTGCAGCTTCAAGTTAAACACATTTCAGCTGTTCAGAAAGTTTTGGCACCAGATCAGTGTGTTGACTTATTTTATGACAGTTAATTTACAGCATAATCAAGGATTTCTAATTAAGATGTTTATCATTATAGCATAATGTACAGCTAAAGAATTTACAGAAATAAACTAGTTTATTTATTAAACATATAAAGCATTAAAAGAGTGGGAATAAAACAGAAAATAAGGATAAATATTTTAGAATAGATTATCTCCTTCTGTTTTTTGGCCATGATGTTGCTCCACAGAATTTATTTATAAATAAATAAGTTTATTAAACACATAAAGCATGTCTAAGGTGGGAATCAAGCAGCTGAATGTTTTATTCATCATCATGTCATTGTGTTTTTTGGCCGTGCTGTTGCTCCGTAGAACCAAAGTGAATAAATAAGGGTGCAGAGAGTGAAAACAAGACGCTGTGCTGTTGTTGGAAATGAAAGCTGACGTGTTTCATGTGAAATGATTAACTCCATAATGAGTCTCTCAGGCTCTCCACGCCAGCAGCAGCACCACAGAAGAAGAGGAGGAGGAGGAGGAGGGCTCGTTTGAAGCCGCCGGGCGCTGAAGGAGCTTTTTGCCGGTTATTACCTCGTCTCCTCTTCAGAACATGACCCCCCACTCAGATTACAAACGAGGCCGCGGCGCAGACTCGAGAGGCCGCCGCCGCAGAGCCATAATTGCCTGATTCGCCGGTCCAGCTCGCCGCCGGTGGCGCAGACGCTCCTTTCTTCCTTCAGACGGTGCAGAGGGGCGGCGGCTCCTCCTAATGATCCGGACCCGGACCCGGGAGAGCCGGCGCTCTAATTCATGTCAAGTGTGTGATTGTGATGAAGGCGGACCAATCAAAGCGCCTCACCTGTTTGATGGGGATGGCGCGCCCGCTGCCGATGCTGTCGGCCCGATTCTCCAGACCTTTCTTCTCTTTGTCCGGATCGCTGGCCTTCCTCGACTGTGGAGCCACAACACACCATCATCATCATCATCATCATCATCATCATCATCGTCAGACCGGGTCCGGCTGCAGCAGAACCTCATTCATCTACAGAAAACGCTTCATTAACACGTTCAAACACAACATGGGCCTGTAGAACCGAGTCAGAGCGTCTCCACCGAGCATCAGGCTCAGATAAAATGTTTAAATTAGCTCAACCGACTGGTTACCATCGGTTACCGCTAGCTGCAACACTACCTGTGCTAATGCTAAAACACTGAGGAGCAAATCACAATAACCAGAGACATGATCGCTCTTCCTAAAGGGATTTACCAGCTGTAGCTAATGCTAATGCATGACTTATACACATTAGCTAAGCTAATGTTAAACCAACATATTTGGCTATAGTTAATGGTTAACCTTTACCACTAATTATAAATATTAGCTTAGCTAATTCTACCTGCTATGCCAACATGATATTTGGCTATCGCTAATGCTAAAGCTCTAATTTATCCAGGATTCTGTAAACGTAGCTGTGCTATTAGCAGATTAGCGGACGTATAGCCACCACTGTCCGTTACTTCCTGGAGCGTTTTATGAAATCTGAACAGTTTTAAAATAAACCCGCCATGTCGGATCCTCTGGTACCGGTCCAGAACCACTGACAGAACCCGACCTGCTCCTGCGATTCTGTCTGACCTGATGCTGAGATCAGAGACTCACGGTGAAGAGGTTGGAGCGGCGTTTGGACTGCTTCCTGACAGGTGTGGGAGTGTTGGCGGCCTGTGGTGCGTCGATGCGAAGCTCCTTCTGGCTGGTGCTCGGCGTGGACGGAACCGACGAAGAGTAGTCACTCAGACTGCCGCCGCCGTTACTTGTCTGCAACCAGTACCAGAGCACCGAGAGGCTGGGTCAATGCTCACCATGTGAAACAGGATAAAGACACAGAAAGGAAGTCGAGCGGAGCGGACCTGGCTGACGTGGACGGCTGAGACCTGAGCAGCGCAGACGGACGTGTGACTTGGAGAGTTGGGGAGTGACTTGCAGGGTCCGATGGAGAGCTGCTGCTTCTTCCTGACGGCAACGACCTTCTGGGCAACTGAAGGACAACGGCAACACAACGGCAGGGTTAAAGACCAGGAGATGATACAGGTCTGGATCCAATCAATCAGTCAACTAATCAATGAACCAATCAACCAACCAACCAGAAACAAACTGCTAAGGGTAACACCAGGCAGAGATAGCGATCTTTAATCCAGTCAGTGATTTCTAAACTACCATCAGTACTTAAAGACTCTTCTCTTCCTGGTTTTAGTCAGAACTTCAGCAGCAGCTTTCTGGATCAGCTGCAGGAATCAATGTGACTAAAACATGGCTGAGTCTCTGTGATCCTGAGATGTTGTTCAGGCGGCAGAAGGCCGTCTTTGTAACGTCTCTGGAGGTTCAGACGTTTCAGGCCCTAAGAAGCGTTAATTTTCTGCGGTTGAACCCTGGCTGTGATTCTGAGGCAGCAGAGAGTTCAGACTTTAGAGACTCCATTATCTCCGTTCCAATAAACTCTGGCCGGCTTCGTTCTCCCCCAGATGAAGCCATTGTTTTAATTGGGCTCGTTAAAGCCCTGGGCTTCGTTAACGAGGAGCCGCTCGTAAACATTTACCTCCAGGTGACTCGGGCCGAGCCAAGGGCAGCGAGAAGAGAGAGCGACCTCGGCGGTCTTTAAAGCGGCCGCTGCGGCGCAGAGAGGCTGTTCAGAACAAAAACAGGCGATGAAAGGAGGCGAGCGATCAGGGCGAGCGCGGCGGCGGCGGATCAGACGCCGCTCCTGCTGCTCGGCCACCGCTGCTGGCAGGCTGTATTTTACTCTGAGGGGCTTTAACAGTTATGATAAGGTTGTGCTAAATATTTAAACTACATGGTTAATACAATTTAACTCTATCCATCAATCTCAGCTCTGCGGTGAGAAGCTGCCATTCCTTCTAATGGACACGTCTCCCCTCTGATCAGATTTATGGCGGGTGAGGCGCAGCGGGGCGGAGAGGTGAGGAAGAGGGGTGAGGCGGACACTGCGGCGTCTCACTCTTCTCACTTCACACTGAGGAGCTGCTTCAGCAGATCTGATTTATTTCACAGTTCAGGAATCAAACTGACCAGGATGAGTTGGTCGGGTCCCAAACATCTGGGTGGGAGGAAAACGGCTGACAGCTTTTAAAAATGGATCCACATTTGGAAAAGAAAAGGAGATTAATTAAAAAAGACGCAATAAAAACATTAAACTATGTACGTTCTAGTTTAGGGTTTCTTACTGTTTCATGTTCATGCCATGTGCTAGCTTGCTTGCTAGCTCGTTTGGCTACTAGCTTGCTACCTTGTTAGTTTTGTTTACTAGCTTGAAATGTTGCAAGTTTGCTATCTTACTTACTAGCTTGCAAACAAGGAATCTAACCTATTTTCTTGTTAGCTTGCTTACTAGCTCGCTACCTTATTTGCTAGCTACCTTTTGCTTGCTAGCTTGTCTGTTTGCTAGCTTGCTACCTTGTTTACTAGCTTGATATGTTGCAAACTTGTTATTTTGCTTGCTACCTTACTAGCTTGTGTGCTTACTAACTAGCTTTTTACCGTTATTGCTAGCTTGCTAACTAGCTTGTTACCTTGTCTGTTTGCTTACTAGATGGTTAGCCCTACACCTTATTATCTCACTGTCTTGCTAGTTAGCTGGCTCATATCCACCCCAAGTCTCTACATCCATATGACTAATATACAGGCTGTATACGTATTGTCAGTTGTGTGTGTGTGTGTGTGTGTGTGTGTGTGTATTGACACACTGGATTCGATCTCCTGGTGATTTCTGAGCCTTATTTATGCATGTGTGGTCATTATAGCTCATTAATGAGCGCTAACGAAGCGTCCAGAGTCTGCACTCCGACACGGATTATAAAGAAGAGAACCTCTCTCTCACACACACACACAGTTTATGTGTGTGACAGTGAGAGAGAGAGAGAAGGGGTTCATGTCAGTGTAATTAAGCTAATTAAATTAGTGCGCTGATGGACGAGAACGCACGTCGCTGTCACCCCCTGAGTCCCTCACACGGAGGTCACGCTCCGCTCCTCCCCCCACCGAACCGACCGGCTTCACTTCACATTACAGGAAAGCAGACACACAGAGACAGAGACACACAGAGAGACACTGAGGACAGACTGAGACACTCTGAGGACAGATGCTAACAGGACAGGTTACAGACTTTATTTGGGGTCTGACAGTAAAACCCCGAGCAGCCGTCGGTTCTACCTGCTCAATTTTAATCTTTACGTTAAACAGCCTCTCAGTTACATAATTCAGCTCTCATTAAGGTTTCCGTGGTAACCAGGACTCTGGACCTGGTGGTGTGCAGGTGTAGCCTGTTCAGGTAACAGAATCAGCAGCTCTGCTTCCTGCCATCATTATCTAGCTGGGTCTGAAGCCCCGCCCCCTCAGCCGGCTGATCGATCACTGAAGGTCACAGAAATATGTAAACAGCATCGATACGCGCTCATAAATTGTGATTTCATTCCCCATCGACTCACATTTACTAAATGCAGTTTAAATCAGGCGGTTCAGGACGGATCTGTCTCTGCATGAATCCTCCATTAATCATTAATATCAATGGAAACCAATCAGAACCAGAACCACAGCGTCCTGCAGCAGCTCATGACTGACACAGAAACAAAATCAATCCGACTCGTCGTTTCATCACCAAAACATAAAACCAGCTGGAAAAATGACCTGGAGTCCACGTCTGATCTGCAGAAAGCAGAAACAGAAAGAAACTGGAGGAACAGCAGCACCATCAGAACCACTGCAACACATCTAATATAGATATAGACATGACAGATAAACCAGGACTACACGATACGTCCTCATGCTAAATGTTTGCAAACTTCACCGAGCAGCATCTCTTTACAACGACACAGATAGGTTTATATCAAATAACCTCCATACTGCTAACGTGTTAGCTTGCTAGCTAATTTACTAGCTTCCTACCGTAATGACTTGCTAGCTGGCTTACTAACCTTCTATCTTTCTTGCTAGCTTTATGCCTTGATGCTACAGTACTTCTTATCTTACTAGCTTGCTAGCTTGTTTGCTGGCTGCCTTGCTAGTCAATCATGGAGCAGCGCTGTCTGTGATCTTGACCTGGTCAAACTGTTAGCTTTGTGTTTTGATGCTCTAGAATACATCTAGTACCTAGTAATAAAGCTCTATAATCACCTCTCTCTGTGGCAATAATTTCATCAAACCCTCAGTTTGCGCCAATGAAGATTCATCCATATGTGCATGATGCAGCTCATGATTATCTCAGCAGAATAACAGAGACTATCCTGATGTTACACAGCCGATCCCAACAGACCTGAACTATTCAAAACAGAACGATGTGATAAAATAAAGTAAAAATAACATCAGATTATCACCAGACATGATGAGAAATGAAAGAGTAACTACAGTGTAAAATAATTTCTGCTATCTTTCCCAATCAGCCATCTTATTTGCATCATTAGGCATCATCGCTAACCTAATTCCTGTTGGGAGACTTTAATTATGTCCAGGTTTAATTTTTTCAACAGTTTTATACATAATGAGTTGTATTAAATTATTGGAGGCGGGACGTTAACACCTTCATTTTGATTAATTATTTACATAAATTTTAACACAATTAATCTAGGTTTTTTTCAAATGATCCTGAAGCTGATTGGATATGAAAACACTTTGATCAATCCGACGGTTGAGCAACATAAAAATAAATATCTCAGTTTGAGATCATACGTCTGTTTGTTCAATAACGTACCAGTAAAAATGTTTTTTAATTAAAATGTTGATTATTTAATTGATATAAAGTTTGATTAATTAGATTAAACGTTTTAATACACGAGAAATTATGACTGCAAAAACCTAGAAATGCTGTATAGATGCAGAAAATTCACTGGACGTCTGGAAACAGAGGCAGACTGCTGCGGGGACACACACACACACACACACACACACACACACACACACACACACACACACACACAGTGCTGCAGGCTGCTGCTGTCCACAGAAACATTAAACTCTTGGTTCTGCTGGATGATTAGAAAACTGATTAATCTGAGATAATGATGAGACAAATACAAGGAGGCAAATACACACACACACATACACAGACACACACTCACTGACACAGAAACACACACACTCACCCAGTGGAATAATTAAGAGGATAATCAGGCAGCGTTTAGTCTGCAGACTTTTCTCCTGAGGCTCGGCTCTGCAGCGCCGCTCAGAGTGGATAGGCTGCCCCCTGCTGGACCAGCGGCGCAACAGCAGCGCTGCTCATCATTACGGGTCGCAGGTTGAACACCGCTGGACCAGCCGGTTAATGTTGCCTTCATGGACTGATTTAAAGTAGTAAACTTGACATTTAAAGTTGCTGCGGATGACTGTGTTGCTCTGTTAGTGAAACCGGATCCGAACCGGAACCAGGCGGCCGGGTCAGTGAGGACTCTGATGGCTGCGGTCACTTTCAGCCGTAATGTCCGGCCCTTCATCTCCCCCCCTCCTCATTATAAAAGTTAATTGCGGCTGGTCGGAGCTGAATAGCCGAGCGGCGCCATTTCGCTCCTAATTGCGGAGCGATTAAGAGCCGATGGAGGAAAGTCACCTTCCCGCAGGAGCGGCTTACCGTCCTGGAAGACGCGCTCCACGTTCAGCCCGTAGGTGGCGCACGTCTCATAGTAGGTGCAGCGTTTCAGCTCGTTGGAAAGCTTCCTGGCGCGGCTGTCGTCGATCACCCGCGGGTTGGACGAGCTGATGGCGTCTGGAGGGAAACGACCGGGAGAGACGGTCAGGAGGAGTTTTAGCGCCCTCTGCTGGTGGACAGGCTTACACACCGATGCAATAATAATAAATACAAATAAATGATTAAATACAATTAATAAGAAATAAATTAAAATAGTTGATAATATAAAATTAATAAAGATAAAATAAAAAAGAAAAAAATTAATTAATAAATACATTAAAAAATGACTAAAATTTAAATAAGCACAAATGAATGACTAGATAAATCAGTTAAAATAAAATTAAAAACAAATGACTAAAAACATTTAAATAAAAATAAATGAATGATTAAATAAATTAACAAAACAAAAATAAAAAATAAGTGATTAAATATATCTAAATAAAATAAGATAAATAAATGAATAAATCAATAAAAAATAAATAAAAAACTATGAACGTTTGATTTTTATTTATTGATTTTTATTTACTGATTTTCAGTAATCAGAAAAATGAGCTGACAGAGATAAAAGTTTTGTTTCTGATGGACTCTCAGCCTGCTCTGGTTCTGGTTGGATCAGAACTGACTGGCAGTATTATGCTGAGGGCCCAGTTTGATCTGAAGCAGGTGAGACAGCAAGAGAGCTCCAGAAGTGAACTTTAACCTCCAAACAGAACCACTGAGAAAAGCACAGCAGAGGCTGCATCATGATGTGGTGTGACAGAAATGAAAGATGCTCACATGTAATGCTGCCTGTCGCCACCAGAGGGCAGCAGAGGATCAGACAGGAAGTGTGAGTGGATCAGGATGTTTCTGTGTGTGTGTGTGTGTGTGTGTGTGTGTGTGTGTGCGTGCGTGAGCGTGAGCACCTTGGGTTCCCACCAGCACCAGCGGCAGGTCGGCGGTGTTCCTATAGGACGCCAGGCGGCTGTAGTAGTGATAAACCGTCTGGAAGCTGATCTCATCCTCCAAGCTGAAGACGAACACCACGGCGTCCACCCACAGAGCAAACTGCACACACACACAAACAGGTCAGAGCAGACCACAGGCTGATTAAAACTGAAAAACTCGATGGAAGAAAAACACCTTTATAAGAAACAAATAATCAACCAGCTACCCGTACAGATTAATCATGATGAATTTATTATTGGAACCAACCGGGTTAATAATCAGTAATCATTAACTGGAGCTGAAACAACAACACAGACAGAGCAGAAATGAAGCAAAAAAAATAAAAAAATAAAATATGAAAAACTTTCTGTAAATCTGTTTTTTAATACAACATAATCAATAAAAATCTACTAGCACCTTTTGATATCAGTTATTAGTCAGTTAATTGATAAAAATATCAACAGAAAAGTTTGAAAATAAAATCTGTTAATAGATTTATGGATTAAAAGGAATTTAATTATTTGTTTACAACTTTTAACATGTTTTGAATATTATATTTAAAAAGTTTAAATAAAATCTGCAGAATGTCAGGTTTTTTTAGACAATTAATCATCAGAATAATTTATTAATCAATAGTTAGATAATTCCTAATATGGATACATTGACGGAATATTATATTTTATTATTTTCATACTTTTTTAAAATCTTAAAGCTGTCTCTCGATAAATATTTTTTGCAAGTAACTTGCAGAGTATAATAGTCCACCAAGATGAGAAATTTAATTAATTTTAAGTTGAAACTGAATTAAAAGCTGATTTATTAATCATATTTATTCTCCCGGTATGAGCTGCAGTACCTACCTGCGCCTCTGGGGGGCCTCCTTCATCCCTGATGAGTAACAGGTGACTCTGGCCGTCCACCACGATCTCCTTCTTAAAGCGCCCTCCTGCGGCAGAGAGGGGAGCACAGCTGATTGGTTCAGCAGCTGAGGTCACAGGGGCTTAAACTAGCGCCCCCTGGCGAACAAGATCATTATTTAACAGCAGGGTCTCTGTTAGCTTGGTGCTAAACCAAACTCTAAAGCCACAAAATGTTCCACGACCGTTTGGAAAAAGGTGATATTTAGACAAATATTTTCTAAAGGAAATTGTATCAAAAAGTTCGGAGTAGTTTAACCTCTGGCCTCTAGGGGCGCTGTTCAGCCGGATTAAATGCTGCCGTTTCCTGACCCAGTGAACCTGATGTTCCGTCTGACCCGCCCCGAAATCTTACTGGACTCAAACCGCCATCCAGTCAGACCTGAACTGGAAAATTTTCTCTTCTGGGTCAGAATGAGATTTGATTTCATCAAGCTACTGAGGATGAAGACGACGAAGAGCTGGAAAACGGCAAAGTACGAAAGAGAGGCGGAGCTAACAGCTAGCTAGGCTAACAGTCGGCTAGCAGCAGCTGATTGGAGTCGGCTTTAGGTTCTGCAGAACCGATTGGGTTCTTAAAAACATTTACCGTCAAAACAGAATTTGGAGGAAAAATCTGAAACACAGAGGAGAAAGTCTAACTTCTTATCTGGTTATACTTTATTACTTGATAAAAATAATCTGACCTTCCTGCGCATTTTTAATCTCGACTTGTTACATAATTAAATAAATGAACATATACAATCTAAATAAATAAAATATTTTAAATAAATAATTCTAAGCAAAAATATAAAAAGAAAAATCCTTAAAGTGAGTAAAATATAAAATGTTATCAATAAACAGTTTTCTGGCTGGTCAGCTGAAGGTTTAGAGAAACTTTCTTGTGTTTTGTCAATAGAAGACAAGATATGAGCTGCTGCCAAAGAGCTGCTGCTAGAACCAACACCAGCCTAATGGATGGATGGACAGAGGGATGGATGAACAAATGAACAGGTGGGCAGATGGATGGACTACCAGAGCGAGAATTTACCTGCATCCACGTCAGCTAGATTATCAGACCGTCCCAGAAAGCAGCAAGAGAGGAAACACAAAGCAGAGCAAGGTCAGAGGCTGAAGGACATGCAGAGGTCACAGAGACAGAGGACAGCAGGCTAAATCATCTGGTTCCTGTTCTGGATCTGCTTCCTCCTGGTTTAAAGGTCAGAGGTCAGGTAAGTTTCTGTCCTCCGCTAACGGCAGCGCTGGTCTGTCTGAGTGGCCCTGAACGCACCGCAGAGCAGGACGACCCACCGGGCCGCCGCTGCACCAGAACCAGAATAGTTCTGGTCTGTGGTCCGGCTGCGTTGCCACGGTAACCCGGCCCCGTGTATTTTTAGAGCGGAGGAATGTGCTTCCTGCTGGAGCCTCCAGCTGCTGCTGAACCGGACCAGAACCGGACCAGAACGGGCCGGTACCAAGCCCCAAACATGGAGTGAAGAAAGAACAACTTATGTACTAATGTTAATAAAAATATAGAAATAAATCTGTAAAAAAATAAGGATAAATTATGGAATAAGAGTTGATTCTGTTCGGTTTGGTCAGGTTCTGATCCGCATAACCTTCCTGCAGTGAACCTGGGTCTGTGAATGTTCTGGTCGGTTCCAGTTAGAGGAGACGCTCTGACCCAGTTCTGCTCATTATTTTGGTTAATTTCTGATCAGAACCCAGAGGAATCGGGTCAGACCGACACCAGAACCCCTCACCTTCAGGAGACTCTTCCTGGACATAGGTTCCTGTCAGGTACCGGTGGACCAGCGCCGACTTCCCGCTGGCCAGATTACCCACAATGCCCTGTGAGGAGACAGAACCAAGCGGTTAGTTCTGATCGGACCGGACCGGGCTGACTCGGACACGGAACCGGGACTCACCACTTTGAGTTCTGGTACGGTCCGGCTGAGGGTCCACTCCTGGCTGTTGACGAAGGCGTCTGAGGAGAAAGCAGCGGTTAGTCAGGTCGGATCGGGTCGATCCAGAATCACGGCTCACAATTATTCATACTGCAGCACCACAAAACCCAAAACATGACCTGAAGTTGGTTCTGATTCTGCGAAGGCCCGGTCACCAGGAAAACATCAGAATTTTATTCAAATCTAAACATTCACTGTAAAACTGGAATCTAAACGTTTGGTTAGAATTAAATGATTAATTCAACAATTAAAAATTTATTCTGTAATTTAACAGATTAAAAATCTGAAGATTCTTCTTACATTAAAATGTTTTTTCATATTTTCTTATTAATTACAAGACAAAAACTGACTTTGTGGAAAAATATACATATATTTTACAATAAAGGTTCAAAATGAAATGATTTTTTTCCCTAAATAAATCCTGAATTTGTTCAGATGATTCAATAAAAGCAGGAAAAAATTACAAATTATTAAAAAAAAAAAAAAAAAAAAACACTTTTTATTGTAATTCTAATCGCTTACACTGTAAAAACAAATCCCATCTAAAATATCCTTAGATGAGGTAAACGTATTTTATTTGGATGAAACACCAGAACCGGGTCACACATCAACCCATTTCCATCTCCAGTCATGAAAAGTAGTTTACACTCAGCGTTTTGTTGCATTTTGATAGTTTAAGTCGGCTTAAACCAGCCATGGACTTTGGGACAAAGTTTATTTTTGTTTGGACTTTTCCAGAGGTTTGTCCACAGAATGTGGTCAGGGTGATCCTGACCTGGTTCTCGGGTCCAAACTTCCGTCCACATGGAAAGAATGCAGAGCGTCGCGTCCCGATTGGCTGGCAGCCTCACAGAGGCGGGCATTGTTCGGCCTGTATGGAAAGCTGATGCGTCACGTAATGCCAGGCAGGATGTTGATCCAGCTGCTTCCTGTTTTCCTCCGCTGCACCAGGTGATGGACCAGCAGCTTCAACTGGGAGGAAACCAGTAACCAGCCAGCAGCTGCTGGGAGATCCAATGGTACCGGTACGAGGACCGTTTCCATAGAGACGTTTCTGATAGGAAGGCGAACAGAGGGACTTGTTGTAATCTGCCTCAGTCAGCTGTCTGCTGGGTTGAGATATGGGCGGGGCATGTGGTGGGCGGAGTCAATGGGAGGAGTCAGTGGTGGGCGTGGCCATCAGCAGGCGGGATCTCCTCAGATGAGATCAGACCCACGGGGTCAGGTTGGGTCGGGTCGGTTCTGCTGCTCAGGCTGCAGATATTCATGGTATGAAGATCATCCAGAACACGTCAGAACCTGAACCTGTCTGCACATCAGCAGACAGCCAGCAGAGATTATTATCAATAATTAATAAAATAAAAATGATTTAACATGGACAAGATATTCAAAAAGGCTTCATTACTTCTTAAATGAATAATCATGAGAAAATTATTCTAGTTATTTATTTTATTGGAATTTAAATTGCTTTAAATAATATATATATATATTTTTTTATTTTTTTTTATTTTGTCCCTTTAAAAATATTGAACCTGTTTATGATTTCATTTTTACATTTTTTAAATGTTACTTTTTTTAGTTTTGTTTAATCTTTTTATATTTATTTTTGATGAAAACAGTATTTTTCTAGCCACAACTTTATGTTCATATTTTTCTTTATTAAATATTTTTATATTTATTTTAGCCTTTTTTTTAAATGTTTGTTACATATTTAGAATTTTAGCATCTTGATGAAAAGTTTCTGTCTGTCTTCAGTTGCTTTTCATTATTTATTTTCATAGATTTGGTAGTTTTATATAATATTTAAAAAGTCTGTTTGGATAAACTGATCAAAATCTCCTGGATGAGGTCAGTCAGCAGCTTAAAGAACGACAGGAATCTGCTGCTGATGCGTGAACGTCTCACAAACAGCTGACAGGGTAAACAAGAGCAAGCCACGCCCCCTAGACAACAGACCACGCCTCTGACCGTGAGATCACGCCCATCGACCAACAGGCCACGCCCCTGTACCATCCCAGCTCAAAGGGACAAACAGAACCAGAACCTCCTGATGTCGGGTTCTTACTGGTTCTGACCCATTCTGGTAGACGAGTTCTGCTGGGGTTCCCCTCCGGAACCGTCTTGTTCTGCAGAACAAAGGCTGTCTGTTTGCAGGTCAACCTGTCTGACAGGTAACACACCTGGAGGAAGAGGAGTGGCTCTTCATCATCAGCTGCTCTGTCTGCAATTCGTCCTCCTGATGACACTACATGCAGGGTGGTCCAACATGCGGCCCGGGGCCATGTGTGGCCCCTGACCGCAGCTAAGAAACGGTGGATGTGTGGCCCTGAGGCAGAATCACTTCCTAAACTCAGATTTCCATGGCAACGTCATATTTTACATGGAAAACCCACAACAACAGATCAGAGCATGAAGTTCTGCCACAAAGATTTAAAGAAAATTCAGATTTTAACATCTAGAAATGAAGCAAAAACTGTAGAAATGGAAAATAATTGATTCATAAAGTTAAATGTAAACATGAAGGAAATTTTATTCTCATGGATTCAGTGATAAAAGTTTGGATTGGACAAAAACTGGAGGACTGGTGACCCAGAGGGAGGTCTCTGGACCCAGAACCAGAATCAGACCCAGAGTATCAGAACCAGACCCACCCTGCTCTTATCTGAGCAGCAGAACCAGAACAGGTCCAAATAGAACCAGCAGTGGAGCCATGATCCCATCAGATTCAGACCAGAACAAACGATCAGCGTGAAGAGCAGGAAACAGTGATAGGCTATCTCTCTCTCACACACACACACACGGTGTGACCTATATCTGAGCCTGTAATCAGCCGACCACCACCCCTCCCCCGCCTGCTGCTGGCAGCCTGCCGCCTGCTGCCTGGCTGCTCCTCTTCCTCCTCCTGATCAAACGCTCCACTCCGGCCGGTTCTGGCCCTCCTCTCAGGGCAGCCTGGAGGCCGGGGGCGTCTGGCTGAGATGAGCCGGGCCAGCTCAGTCTCTTGGGCTTTGGACCAGCAACCCGCAGGCAGCAGTACCAGCAGGTTCTGACTCCTCCAGGAAACAGGAGTAACGGTTCCTGATGGTTCCTAATGGTCCAGAGAACCCAACCGGGTCAGAGAGGTTCTTGTCCATTACACTTCAGCTTTATTCCTCTGGGACCATTAGCCATTAGCTAAATATTGTTTAGTTTTCATTAGTTTTAGTTCTTTCATATTCTGGTTCATTCTTAGATGCTTCTGTCAAAAGGTCAGAGTGATTATGCTTACGTAATAAATACTAAACAGAAACTATATTCATTTATTGTTCATCAACCAGCTGCCTCAGTTTTTAGATGTTTGTAGCTCCGTATTTTTTCCATTAGCTGATCTGAACAGTTTGTTTCACATCAAATTGAAATGCTAATAACTAAAACAGAAAAACAAAGGATATTATTTATAGTTTTAATGTTTTAGTTTGATAAAAGCACAATATTTTCAGTTATAGTTTTCCCATTAATTCCAGCTTTTATTTGTTTCACTTTTCATGAGTTTCAGTTTTCTTTCTTTAGTTAGCGTTAGCTTTAGCTAACTGTCCTGTTTCTACCGTCATGCCAACAGCTTCATCACATAAAAGTCAGACAGACGATCAGCCTGCTGTTTCCCCTGCAGACTGAGGGGTTCCACTGAGCCAATGCTAACATTAGCCTAGCGCTAGCTAGTTGAGGCAGAGCGCTAGTTAGTATGTTAGCAAGAAGTAACAGCAACTGACAAGTCGGACTGATGCGAACATGAGATCTGCACATGTTCATTACCGTCTGCACCAGTAGCCAATCACAGGCTGGGATTTTCTCATCCAATCAGAGCGCTCCTTATAAATACTGGATAACCAACCAATTAAAGCCAGCAAAACTTAATGCTGCAGCAAGCTGCAACAAAACGGCAGCAAAAAACATTTAAATACTTTAACTCTGAGAATATTAGTGAAGTATTAAATATTATGACTTTATTTTACCCTTTATTAATTATTTTAATTTTGTTTAATTTGAAACGTGACCAGAATTACACAGAATGACTGATTACATGTTTTTATTTTAACTGTCTGACTCGTCCTGACTCAGCCTCAGGCTCTTTATTTTTAGACGTTTGTCAGAAGTTTTACTTCCTGGTTCTGACCCGGTCGGTACTCTGGGCTCTTATTGTGATGGAGCCTCCAGCTGGCTGAGCTTCAGGATAACTGGATCAGCTCAGCGTCCCAGTCTGACCGGGTCGGGTCAGCAGGTCAGCAGCAGGGGGCGGGGCCTGTGAGGACAACCCACCTGATTGGCTGAACCTCAAGAGTGAATCACAGAGTACAGTAGAGGATGTGTGATGCTGCGGGCCGCCAGAACCAGTTCAATAAACCCTGAGGGCCCAGAGAGCGGCCCTGCCGACCTCATTTCCTGTCACTAAAGCTGCTATTGAGCGCGCTCAGTTCTCCTCTCAGGAGGACATCACTTCTGCTTGGCCGAGGATGTAGGTCACACGCGGACACACACACACACTCATGCATACACACACACACACTCAGGTGTGTGAGGAATCCCAGAAATGTTTTCTCCCTCTGAGCCGTCAGTCCAGCTTCTGTCTGGAGACGATAAGAGATGTTTAAACAGAAGTCAATCTAGATTCATTTTCTAGATTATGATTCTGGGTAAATCAATTAAAACATTTAGATTTAAAAATATATTACTGATATATTGTTTTCTCTGGTATTTGTGTCATAATCTCAACCGTTTAAAATAATCTGAATTGAGGATTATTTGATAATCTACATTTCACAGATGAACCTGCTGGTTCTGGACCGTTTGGACCGGGTGTGCTGCTGCCTCCAGCAGGTAGCAGGTGTGTGGTTACCATGGTTACCGTTGGCTCCGTCCCCGTCCATGCTCTCCGTGCTGGACGGCGCCCCGCTGCGCCGCAGCGACCTGCTGATCCCGGGGCTCCGGACCGGGCTGGGTCTGGAGAAGAACCCGCTGAAGAAGCGTCCCAGCCGCCGGTCGCCCCCCTGTTGCGCAGCGCCGTCGCCCTGGTTGTCCCGTCGCTGCAGGTCGCTGTTGTCCAGCGTGCGGTTCTTAGCGGCGCCGGCCCTCTGGCGGCTCAGCTCGGTCAGGGAGTCGGTCCTGTTGAGGACGGCCCCCACCTCCAGGGTGCGGCTCTTCTCCCGGGTCCTGGTTGGCGGGGCCTGCTCAGGGAGTGGGGCCTGCTCAGGGAGTGGGGCCTGCTCAGGGAGTGGGGCCTGTGGCGGCCCGTCTCTGGACGTGGCGTGGAGCCGCAGCAGCTCTCCACTGATCCGGGTCCGGACGCTGAAGCTGAAGCTGCGCTGCAGCAGGCTGGGCTTCGGGTGGGCCCCGGGTTTTGGCGGGTCCCGCTCCTCCATGCTGCGGGCCTTCAAGAGCCTCCTCACCTTGGCAGCAGCGGTTTCGGGCCGCGATTCGTCGCGCTGCGCCCTACGGGACGCCCTGAGCCGGCCCAGCTCCAGCTGACCTGTGCTGAACGTCCTGAACCTCCTCATGATGCCACCCTGAGCTGCCGCCGGCTCCGGCTCCTCCTCCAGCACCCCGCCCCCCCGACCCCTCTCTTCCTCAACCCCCCCCAGGTTCTCCCTCTTCACCAGCGTCAGGGAGATCCGGTACACGGTCTTCCTCTGAGGCGCTCCTCTCTCCATCAGCATCCTGATGTTCCAGATGTTTCTCACTGTCCTGGCTCCGCTCCGGCCGCCATGGCGTTCCCCCCCCCCTCCAGGCTGCTGCTCCTCCCCCCCACTTCACCTGGGACCAGAGCGTCGCTGCGTCAACGCTTTCAGCTGCCGCCGAGCAACGAGGAGCTCCAGAATGCTGCTGCTGTCTGAGCCGCTCCACTGATCACTGACACCCACACAGAGCCGGCAGGGGAGGAAACCTGGAGCGGAGCGCCAGGGAGGAGGAGCCAGGAGGGGAGGAAACCTGGAGCTAAGCACCGGCGAGGAGTAGATGGGAAGGGAGGAAAGCTGGAGTGGAACGCCGGAGGTGGACTGGAGGCGAAGCTACACTCACATCAGATCCATCTGACCAACTTTCCTAGGAAAGTGTGACGGAGGGAAAAACTGCCTCTGATCTGAACTCTGAGCTGCAGTTTGTTTAAATGTAACCGACTAATAAACCAAATAATAACACAACTGAATCCAAATTGTGGCCCCGGGGCCATTTGTGACCCTTGAAATGAGTTTTTTTGGACCCTGACTACAAGTCAAACAAACAAACAAAAAAATCATTAAAAACCAAAAGCTATAGAAATGATCATTTTTTTTAAATAAAGCAACAGTCCAAAACATTTATGTTTTGATACATAGATTTAATTAAAAAACTGTTTAATAATAAACTGGTAAAGCTAAAATAATAAATTAATTTTTGTGTTTTTAATTTTGTCTCCAGTTTAAAAAGTTTGGACACCCTTTGGATGAACTGAAGGTGTCAAAACTTTTTACTCTAAATTAAAACTGAAACATTTATTTTTAATATGTTTGCTGTTTTAATATGTTTGCTGTTTTAATATGTTTGCTCTTCATTAATAAACCAAATGGATCATATTTTTTCCTCTGGGTTTATTCTAGTCTCCAGCAGGAAAACAGGAACTCCAGTCCAGGTTTTCCAGCCTGCTCTCTTTCCCCACAGCGCTGGCTCTTCCTCTTCCTCCTCCTCCTGCAGCCATACAGGCTCCAACAGCAGACTCCCAGTCCCAGCTGGTCCTGTCTCACAGTTTGGGATGGTTCCTCCAACCAGAACCAGAACCCAACATGTTCCCTCTACAGAACCAGCAGAGCTGCTGGAGCCGCCATGTTGGTCCTGCTGTTTGCAGATGATGCTGTGATTTAAATGAAGCTGAGGGAAAATCCCTCAGCCTCTCCGGGTCTCCCAGTGTTCCCAGTAGAACCTCCAGACTGGGTTCTGACCCGGTTCTCAGACGTCCAACCAGCTGGTCACATCACAGATGTTTGTTTTTATTCTAATGTTACAAAAATTCAATCTGGAGCTGTTGTTTCCATGAAATTTGAATTAATCTGTTCACATGATGAGTCGATAATAATCACGGTGGATGTAGACAGTTAACGGAGTTTTATTCATAACTCAGCCAAGGTGGCGCTAATGCTCATCTGTCACCCAATCAGAGGAGACAGTTCAGGCCTTGGAGCGATAAGCCCCGCCCACCTGGGAGCAGTGGTTTGGGGGAGCTCTGGTTCTACTTCCTGTTTTCTTCTGTGTTTCCTGCAGTAGTAACTTGCGGCTCTGGTCATGTGACTCATGATGCGAAACAAAGAGAAACCAAAATCATCCCAGAAAAATAAGAGACTTTCTAAAGTTGAACTTTGACCCTGTATGGTCTGGATCCCTTCATGTCTCAGTGTCTCCAGAATCAGAACCAGTTGTAGGGGTCAGAGGTCGTCCTGGAGAAGTGGGAGGAGCTACGCAGGAGTTTGTGGATCAAACGGCCTGGTCCTTCATCCTCACCTCAGACCTTCATCATGTTTCCTCCTCTTCTTCCTCACTCTGTGATTTTCATGCGTCACACTGAAAACATTCCCTCCTCCCATCTTTCTATTCCTTCTCTCTGTATTTCCATCCATCCTTCCTGAGTTCTGTTGGAGGTGAAACGGGTCAGAACCTCGACAGATTCTCCCCTCAGGTTTATCTGCTGACCTCTAACCCCCACAGGACAGACCTTTAGTCTTAGTAGCTCATTAAAAGGTGAGAGGCGACTGACTGGTAGATTCTGCATATTTCCCACCGAATGAAATAGAACAAAGAAATTCCTTTATTTTATACTAAATGTTTTAATATAAAAATAGTTTTTAATTTCTTAGCTCTGAGATTTCAGCATCATCATTAATCAGCTTTAACTGGACAGTAACGGTTCCCCCATCAGGTTCATTTAACCTCATCGATCATAGAAACCTCCTGCAGTTTGAACTGAAACAACTGGAACCGGACCAGAACCATGAAGCAGCTGCTTGAAACCAGTAGATAGACTGAACTGGAATTGCTGGAAAACAGATGAAGATATCTGCAGCTGATTTAGGGAAAATCCACCAAGATGACAAACTGATGTCACATGTATGAAAACACTGAGGGATCATCAGCATAAAGACTGATTCACCTCATCGCTCACAATGTCACAGCTCTACAGCCTGATAACTTCATTAGCCTGTTAGCTTCGTTAGCCTGCTACCTTCTGGATAACAAGCCAACAAGCCTGTTGGCTTCTCTAACAAAAACCAAGCTGCTCAGCCACGTTCCACACGTATGAAAACACTAAGGTATCATCTGTGTAAAGACAGAAGCCATTTCACAAAGTAAAATGCTAATTAGCTGGTGAATTTAGCAGATTAATCATCAGGAAATGACCAACATTCTGCTGAAACAGCAGCTGATCTCTATATGTAGTTTATTTTTTATTTACACATCGCCTGTTTTGTGTTTATTGATTTATCTATTGGATGGTTGATTAGTGACTATAGAAAACTGACTGAAATGTTCCTTTATAAATAGTTATATAAGATATTAAATGAAAACAGTGAGTCTCGTTGGGGTTCCCCTGGGCTCTGCTCTTGTCTCCTCCTGATTCTGGTCCATGGAGGGACAGACGGAAACATTAACGTAACATAAAGGATGTAAAACCAGCTGAGGTCAGAGCGGCCAGCAGAACCTGAACTGGGTCAGTGAAGTTATCATGGCCTTAGAGCAGTAAAGTCCTGGAACCCAGCAGAGTGTTGATGTGGTACTGGACCGGCTGCATGGTACTGGACCGGCCGCGTGGTACTGGACCGGCTGCGTGGTACTGGACCGGCCGCGTGGTACTGGACCAGCTGCATGTTGGTGCTGCGTTTCTCCATGCTATGAAATATGCATGCGGCGCTGCAGAGGCTGCCGGAGCGCTCACTGTGAGGAGACCGGCGCCGACCCAGCCCGGCCCAAACAGAACCAGGCGTTGGCAGCTGATTTTATCCCCGTTGATCCGGAAACTAAAGGCCGGATTTATTCAGGCGCAGGCGCTAAATCCAGGTGTGACTGCAGGTGGAACCAAACCAACAACCTGAGCAGCTGCAGCATCTTCCTCCCACGCTCTGCCTCACCCTACAGCCTGGAAACTGGGTCAACCAGCAGCGGGCGGGGGAGGGGCGGCAGCAGGCCCCCTGCTGACAGCATCATCACTATGCACACACAGGTTTCAGTTTCCAGCAGAAAAAAACTCCTCAAAAACGGCAAAACAAAGCAAAGCAGGCGGCAGTGACCAGCAGTGACCAGCAGGGGCACCAGACAGCATGAAGGTTCTGTTGGGTCAGGATCTGACCCATGTGAACCCGGACAGGAAGCTCCTGCCCCACCAACCAGACGCTGCTGTGTTGCCATGGAGACCACTGTGTGGGGGTAGGGGCCGCTCTCACTGAGCGCGTGCAAACCAGGATCCAGACCTGGATGTTCTCCTCCTCCACCAGATTCAGTCAGGTCTGCTTTGATGGCTTTGACTTTCTGGGCCTTCAGGGACAACGTAGATCTGTCTGAAGTCGAAAGCTGCACCAGGAGCTGACAAGGAGAGGCAGGTCGGCTTCCTACCAGCAGCTGCAGCACAGATGGAGACCAGCTCATCACACATTCATGAAGTTATAATGCAATGCTTTAATCCTGGAGGAGGTGGAGGAGGAGATGAGGGAGGACGCCGACGGTTCAACTCCCAGGAGAGACTAACAATACAAACCCAGCAGGGAATTCAACCTGCAACTCTCATCCAATTCAATCTCCAAACATTTAGAATGACCTTCATTTGATCAAACACAAAACTGTCAGGTTGGTTTCCACCAAAACATGAGGATGGAGGCCTGGTGGGGACAATTTACCTCAAATGAACAACCATCGAGCATCAGCCTGTTTTAATAAGAGACTGGAGAGAAAGAAAACAAAGAATTAAAGACATAAAGACAACAAGAAAGAGAGGAAATAAGAAGGAAGAAAAGAACGAAAGAAACAAAGAAAAGAGAAAAAGAAAGTTAATAAAAAAACAAAAACTCAAAGAAAGAAAAGAAGAAAAAGAATAAAAGAAATGACAACAAAGAAGAAAGGAAAAAAAAGAAAGAAAGAATGAAAGACAGAAATTCTCCCAGCTAAGATGAACGTTTCCTATCTGATTATCGGGTAAACCTGCTTTCCATACATTCAGTCAACATCAGCCCTGATTGGCCAGTTCCAGCTGAATCCCAACAGGAAGTGGATTTTATCTCCACCAGTGATCAGCGGCAACATGAAGGGCTGTTTGTTTGGTGTCTGACTACTGACCTTTGACCTCTCTGTTTATATCAAAACCTGAGAGCAGCCGACTGAATCTCTATGAACATCAGCTCTCTGCTGCCCCCTGCTGCTCAGCACACAGCGCTGCGCTCCAGAGCCATCATGACACTCTGCTGTCCCGCTGCTCAGCTGGTTGCCACGGCAACGCGGCTGCAGGCCAGCCTGTGGAACTCGTTGCCACGGTAACGAGCATCACTTCCTCAAACAAAGCAGGCCAGGTTTATTTCTGGCTGGTTTCTTGTGGAGATGACTCTGAGTCCTGCAGGAAATTATGCGACATCACTTCCTGTTTCTACAGCGTCCAGATCCACTTCTGAGCTTCAGCCAGTTTTTATCTTTATGTCATATTTATCTGATAATTAATGCAGGAAAAAACTCTCTATATAATTTTTTTTAAACTAAAGCTTATGCTCATTGTGGTTTCTACCTTAAAGCAGCAGCTGCTTCGTTTCTATGGAGGACTTCTACTGCCAATAAAGAGCTGCAAATACTGAAATAAATAAATGGCTTGATAAAATGATTAATATGGCAAATATTACATCTAAAAATCTAGAAATAAAACAGAAAAGAATGTATTCAATAAATACAGACTCTTAAAAAATAATTAGGCAAAGGAAAATAATTATTAAAAAAATTAGATTGGAAATGAAATGGAAAACTAAATATTATAGTTATTTATGGTTTAATGCAACTATGAATAAAGTTTTGGCAGCACCAGTCCTCTGTACATTTCCAGCAGCCTCAGGTTTTCTCTGCTGCCAGCTGGAGCAGCAGCTGCTTTTACACCTGCTGCGGCAACAACTCAGCCAGCAGGGGGCGCTAACGCACATCCAGGTGTCCCAACAGGTAGATGGACCAAGCACCTGGACATGTGGACATCTGG